ATCAATCAATCAATTAATTTTGTTTATTATTCATCATTCATATGGAACAGAAACGAACGAAATGCCTATTGTAATCTAATGAAACAATATTTGGACACATTATATGAAGAACCAGTGCAATCACAAGAAATGTATGATCGTCTTATGGTTCAATTGAAATCGACGGAAAAAATAAGTGAATATCATGTGAAAACATATTTCGATATTAGCACCAATGAAGCAACTAAAAATGGTTATGGTGGTCTTATCATGGAAATCGATGATCTTAATAATATATCAGGTGTAAAGACAAAATGTTGTATATAGGAACAACAACAACAACAACAGAAAAGAAATCAACAAAAGTTTTTTTTATTTGAAAAAATCTACATTTGACATACAAACAAACAAAATTCATTTAACTACATAAAGAGATTATCATCATCATCATCATCAGCAATTTTTCTTTCGTTGGAATTTTATACAAAATAACAGAATTTACAAAAAAAAAAATATTAGATCAAGGCAATTCATTTATCTAAAGAGAATTTTTTTTAAAATCTTTTTTCTCAACTTGAATCACATTTCGATTGATGACCATTCTTTTTTGATGATTGTTGTTGTTGTTGTAAAGTTTGAAGCTCTTCATCGATCCGTTCTTTTGCACGATAAACCTAAAGAAAGAAAATGGGGGAAAAAAATTTTCATTGTTATTTATCGTGTTTTTTGATCATTCAATGATGATGATGAACTGTCAGCTGATTGTGATGCTGACGATGGCGGCGAAGACGACGATGATGATGATGTTGCCGATGAAGGTGATGTTGGTCCACGATTCAAATATGATGAATCAAATTGAAAATGTCCATGGAATATATTGGCCAATAACATGTATAGAATGCTGCCGGTCATTCCCCATATTCGTGGATTTTCATCATCTTTATACACTGGTGTTGTCCAACCAGAACGCCAATGTGTTTTGAACCAAAATTTCATATTCAACAGTCGTGTTATTGGTATGATATGTATGGATTGTACTTCATCTGGATTCAATTTAAATTGATCCAAAGTATTATGTAGTTTAAGATAACCAAGTACCGGATACAAAGCTAAATCATTGAATGGTATTGGATTCAATTCGCCATACACTTTCAAATCGGAACGATTGACACCAATTTCTTCAATGGTTTCACGAATAGCCGATTCAATTAAGGATTCATCACATTCTTCTTCTAGGCCACCAGGAAAACAAACTTCACCTTTATGTTTGGTCATTGTGAATGATCGTCTTGTAAACAGAATGGCCGGTTCATTCGTCGTAAGATCATGACAAAATGGTACAAAAACCGATGCATTTTTCATTGTTGAATCTGAACGTAAACGGCCACCTAATCGAATTCGTTTCATACGTTCAATGCATTTACGTAAATTTTGTTCATTAATATTACGATCAATATCTTCAATCAATTTTTCATTTGTTATTGTTGTTGATGTTGTCGTAGCCATTGTTCGTTGTTGAATGTAATGAATATTATAATGATTATTATTATTGTCAAACGGTTTTTGTCTATTAAATGTTGTTGACCTGATGTTATTATGAAAGCAGCAGTATAAATTATTGGTTGTAAAAAATTTTGAACCAAACATAGTCATCCTCATCATCATCCTCTTCAACGTCATCGTTTCATACACCATCATAGAGGTCTATAGTAGTAATATCATCAGCATCATGTGATATATATGTTTTTTTTTGGCAATTGTAATGGTGTGATGAGGATGATGATGACAAAGATATTTAAAGCCAATGATGATGATGATGATAAATAAACATGCCATGCAACAACCACCGCCACCACCATCATCATCATCGTCGTTGTCGTTCGAATTGTTGATAAACAGAAATATATAACAAAGAGACAATTCGTGTATTCAAAATATACTCACTTTGGATTGTAGATAAAATGAACCACCTTTTGCTTTATCATTAACTTCGAATAAATGTTTAAAACGTTTTTCAATAAATTCTAGATCGTTTAATTGATTGCTTTCAATATTCAATATTTGCATTGCTTCCTATGTATGGAGAGAGAAAAAAATGGAATTTTATTTTTGCAAATAAAAAAAAATCCTACTTGAACACTCATTCCCAATTTAGCATTTGCTGCTGCTGATGCGGCACTAGAATTGTTTGTATTACGTTGTTGTGCAGCTCGTTGGCTTGCTGGTTTGAATTTGGTTACAAAAAAAAATTAATTAATTTCACAGAGAAATTTTTTTTCAAAAAAATTTACCTTCAATTTCTTGCTTCAATGCACGTGTGAATGCACGACCTATCGCCTGTGCACCGATGACAATAATCTGTGCAAGATATTTTGCCTATGAAAAAAAATTTACATTTCAAATCAATCAATTTTAGAAACGAAACAAAAATGATTATACCATTTTTTAGAGGACATAAAAATGTCAAACCAGAAACAATTCAACAGAAATTATTGTTTTATCGACAAAATAAAAACAATCACAATTTCATTGATGACAAAATGTTTGAATTTTTGTTCATCGGCTATGATCACATTGATTTATATTTATTTAATGGGGAAAAAAATTTAAAAATAAAACAAAATGAAACAAAAATAATGTTATGATGAATTTGAAGCATGCGAATCATCAACAAATTTATTTTATAAAAAAAACACATGACATGTAACCGTACAAAAATGACGTAACAGAATTTTTCAAATGACAATTTTTTGTGAAATTTATGGTGATTTAAAAATAATTAAAAAATTAATTATAAATCAGGTCAAGGTTTTTTTTTTTTGCTGTTGAGCTATTGGTAACAAAATAAAGATAAAGGAAATTGTGTAGACATCCGAAAATTATTTCCCTTTTGTCATCATATTTCATATAAAAATGCAATTAATCGAAGACCAGCATGGAAATAATTACAACAGCAACAAAATTTGTTACATTTTACAATGACTGTTAACAATGATTTTCTATTTGTTATTGTTATCATTATTAATGGTGTTATTATCAACAACAGTAAATTCATCCATAACATGGGAACAATGGTCAAAGAATCAGAATATTAAAAGTGGAAATAACTGGAACAATAACAACAACAACTGGAAGATTATCGACAACAATAAACACAACAACAACAGAAGCATTTATTCGTGGACATCATTACCAGATCGAATTGTATCGTTAAAAAATGGTGCACGTGTTCGTGGTAAAATTGATACAAGCGCATCAAACAAGGGAATGTATTTTTTCAAATCAATCCGTTTTGGCGAAGTACCCGTAAGATTTGGCTTACCAAAAATGGCCCGGCCATGGTCAGGTATTTATGATGCTACATTTAGCCGTGGTGGCTGTGCACAAGGTCTACCATTCGTATCGAAAGCTGAAGACTGTCTTTTCATCAATATCTGGCAACCATTTGATACAAAGGATCATAATTTTGAATTGAAACCGGTTATTGTATATTTTTTTGGTGGTGGATTCAATTTTGGAAATATAAATATACTTTCTACGCAACTTTTCGATGGTGGTCGTATTGCTGATTTAGGTGATTGTGTATTTGCAACTGTTCAATATAGACTTGGTGCATTCGGTTTCCTATACACAGGAACGGATCGTGCACCTGGTAATCAAGGTGTTCATGATATTATACTGTCTTTACGTTGGATACAAGAGAATATTGATCGTTTTGGTGGTGATCCACGAAACGTTACAGTATTTGGTCAATCAGCTGGTTCGATGAGTATCTCGGCTATGATTATTTCACCATTAGCACGTGGTTTGTTTCATCGTGCAATCATGAGATCTGGTTCAATCAATGAATATCTAGCATATTCACCGGAGAATTCATTAAAAAATTCGATAAATTTTGCCAAAAGAATGAAATGTCCCATACATAATATAGACATTATGGTAGATTGTTTACAGAACAAAAGCGTGGAAGAATTAACATTCAAAACATTATCATTCAATCTTCCGGCTATATTTGAAGGCAAACAAATGTTCATTATGTATGGCGATAAAGGCGGTATATTGCCTGAAAGACCAAGTAAAATGTTAGCAAAAGGAATTTATAATCCAGTCGATTTGATTAGCGGTTTTACATATGGTGAATTAGGTACAATAACAACATATATGTTGCCTGAACTTATAAATGGTATACGTAAATTTACATATGATGATATGAAAAGATTATTCCGAAAATCATTAATGGCAGTGCAAGGACCACCGGATTATATACGTCATATTTTCAATTTTTATACAAAAAATCTTCGTGAATATCCAGCCAATACAGAATTACGTCGTACACTTGTTGATACATTATCTGATGGCATAATGATTTGTCCAACATATCTTTTTACGTTGAAATATGCACAAATGTTGTCAAGAAATTCATCAAATACAAATCGTGTTTATTCATATCGATATGATCATTTTTCGCCATATATGATGTTATTATTATGTTTTCGTTGGATGGGACCATGTCATGAAGATGATGTACCAATCATGTTTGGTATAGCTGCATCGCCAAATCTATTGCCAATAATATTTACATCAATTGATACAAAAATTAGCAAACAAATCATACGAACATGGGTAAATTTTGCTCGCCATGGTAAACCGGGTGCCCATTTAGATGGATTAGAATGGCCAGAATTTCGTTCAACAAATCAACGTATCGGTGATAATAAAACACAAATTGCATGGAAACAGATGATTATTGATCAACCATATCGTATAACTATTAATTCAAATTTTTATCGATGTAAATTCTGGGAACCAGTATTATTTCCCGATAATCCTGATGATTATGATGTTTGAATTATGAATAAAATTTCAATTAATATTAATTAAATTTCAAAATTTTTTTTTTAATTTCAATAATTTTTTTTTGTCGCCTAAACAACAACAACAAACGCACACACACACACACCCACGCATGCATAAATAAACAAAAAATTTTAAATCAAAAAAATTTTTTGTGTTTTGTTTGCTTTGTGTCGTATACGAAATTGGGGAATGAAAAACAAACAAACAAACAAATGATGAATCGACTGAATGAATACGACTAACTGACTAATAGAACTTAATGGATTCTGAATGTGGAGAACAACAACACATAAAATGATCACACAAAAAGTGAGTAATTTTACAAATATTTTCATTTTTTTCAAATATAACGGTGGATGATACTGGAGAACAGCAAGAAAAAAAAATGGATTAAATCATAAATTGTAAAATGGGAAAATTCATTAAAACAACAATAACAACAACAAAATAAAATAATTGTAAACTTGAAGGGGAAAAAAAGAGGACAAAAGTTTGAAAAATATTTACAAACAAAAACAAAATCATCAAATTTCAATTTTTCGAAAGTTTTCTTTTCTTTTGCTGTAGTGCTCTGAAATATGATTATGGTGTTATGGTTGAGTTTTTTTTTCTTTTTTTTGTTTGTTTGTTAAATTTTCTGCCGGGCAATGTGATTATTGAATGATGACAATGGTGATGATGGTTATGTGAATGATGACAAGACAATAGAATCACGAATGATTTTTTTGTTTTGTTTTTGCTGAGTGAATTTGTTCTGAGATGTGCACATTATGTAATCAATAAATTAAATGAATGAATATGGCCCGTCAGTCAGAGCACTACAGAGTATTTGTCAACTTGGTGGCTGTCCAGTAACAATATTACCATGTTGACCGGCCACTGTAGGCATTGTAGGATTATTAGATATCATTGATGTATTTACGCCCGATGATAATATATTCGATGTTTGTGATGATTGTGGTGGTTGTGATTGCGGTTGTTGTTGTTGTTGTTGTTGTGATACAACTACTGGTCCACCACCAATACCACCAACAACACTACCGGATTGTAAATTATTGGTTCCCATAGCACCGGATGTAGCGCTTGTTGATGATAATTGTCTAGATGCACCACGGCTACGATCTTTATAATATTCAAGACCAGGATCAAATTGTAACAAAACAAATATCTATAAATAGGGGAAGGGGAGAAAAAGTGTTAAAACTGTAAAAAATAAAACTTTTTTTTTGTTTACCATATCACTTGGTATGAGTATAAGGTCATTTGGTGGATTTGTTATTACATAACGTTTTGTGGATGCTTCAGCCGTACCAGATGTATCACGAAACCTATAAACACCAATACATAACATTCCATATTGTCGTAAGGCAGCGACAAATAGGTCACCATATTTGCCACTTTCACCATATTTAGCCAATGGTCCATCATATAATGATATCTGTCCAGCTCGACATCGGTCTCGATTTTTCAGCGTTTCCAATGTTGAATAACCACCACGAAGACCGGCACCTTCAGCTAGAATTAGCTCTAGTTCTGGGGTGGCACCACCAGTTATCAAAGAACGTATTAGTGTTAATGCATTTGCATTGAAATATGTCGTGGACATTAATGAATCCAATACGGACACAGCGAATGCTGTACCACAAGCAAAAGGTTGTGTCAGATATAATTCTGTATCCGGATCATCATCATCATCTTGATCTAAAAATTGTACATTCGTATCATTGACTAATTCGGTTATCAATGGAACATTTGAACCATAAACAGATCCACGTCTTTGGACAACTAATGGTGGTGGTGAACTACCCGGTATTCGTGATCCAGGATCAGGACAAGCAGCATTATTCGTAATAACACCGATCGTATCATCAAATGTCATTGCTTTGATATTTAAACTAGCCAAAATGGCTTCTTTATCCGCCAATGTTGGATCATCGCTAGATGATATTTTAGCCGATAAAATGACACACATATCGCATAGATTGATATTAACAGCACGAAGATCAGCACGTGATAATGGTGATCCATTCAATACACTAATTTTTGGTAGATTCTGTAACATTTTCCATTCACGACGTAAATAATCAACATTACCAACAATAACAACATGTTTCAGTTCATGATAATGAAAATTTGAAGCTCTGTAATGATGATTTCATTTGAATGAATTAGAAATAAACTCAATATATGAACAATACACAAACCTTAAAGGCATAACCAGATTACGTAAACCAATCAATGGTGAATCTGGATCGGCAAACAAACAAACAACAACATGTCCATTCAATACGGTCATTGCTGCCTGATTACGATCCAATATACAATCTTCAATTGGCCTAGCTGGACACCAATGAAACATGCCGGTTGAATCATATTTCATTTCAGTTTTTTCAAAATCAAAATCTTTTGAATCAATAAAACCGGCTGATGGTGCAACCGATACGGATGTCCCACCATCTGTAGGACGTGCTGCAGCTGGCCTAAGTTTAAAAAAAAAATTTCAAAACTTAAATCCATTCACTAATTAGATATATTTACATTAATTTTTTCACTTCATATGCTAGATGCATTTGTGGTCCAAAAGATGATCCAGTAGGTTGTTGTTGTTGAGATGTTGCCGTTCCAGGGATGGCTGTAATTCCCGATTGTTTTACCGGACTATGTGCATTCGGTTGTTGTTGTTGTTTAGTACCGATAGCAGCAGTTAATTGTCCGGCAATATTACCAAGTTGATGTTTACCATTACGTGCTGCACGTCTACCACCAGTAGATGAACCAGATGTAGGTGGTATTAGATGCACTGGAAACAAGTGAAATAAAAAAAAATGATTATTATCGTCGTCAATATATTATATTAAATTTATTTTTATAAACAACAAAAATTTCAAACGGAAACTTTAACCTTTCAACATGACAATAAAATAACGAAATAATATACACACATACACATCATCAATTGATGTATGTGAGTGGGTGGATGGATGGATAGATAGATCAAAGCAAACAAAAAAACAAACAAACACATAAAACACACTTACTGCTTTCACTTGGATCACCAAAACCATCTGCTATTTAAAAAATACACACGCAGGTAGAAAACACAGACATAAATTTAGTGATTATTTGAGCAGAAAAAAAGCGGAAATTCATTTTAAAAATGATGACGATGAATGACATTGAACGTGGACAGAATACACATGGAGAACAAGAGAGAGAGAGAGAGAGAGACAAAATGGCAAAACGCACACATAAATTTAGCAGAATTTTAATTTTTTTTTTTTTAAATGAAATGGAAAGAAAAAAGATGAATTAGTTGGTATTTTAGAAAAAATATAAATCATTTTTATATATAGGAAAATGAATGAAAACGGAAATTAGAAAAACACATGCAGAACCAAAAAAAAGAATCCAAAATGTGATGTGGTGTGTGCGTGTGTGGAATGTGTTTTTTTAATTTTCAGGTGCAAATTTAATTTGATTTTTTTTTTGGTGAAAATTAGTTTTGAAATTATTATTTACGAAATTCCATATAACAACGAATGAACGAATACCGGTGAGATTTTGCTATCATATGAAAAAAAAGGTGCCAACAACAACAACAACAACAACAACCATAAAACAGCACAAGAACAAATAATTAACCTACTATATTGTGAAACAAAAAAAAAGTTTTACCTCGAAATTTTCTTGATAATTTCGGTAAAATTGTTGTTGCTGTTGTTGAACATTGTGATTGTGGACTATTCATCATCATCATACTACTACTACTACTATCAATAATTGAAAGATTTGTCGTTATATTCATCAATGATAAATTATTATTTGAATTAATAAACGACGTTGTTGTTGTTGATGATGATGTTGGTGGTGTTGCAGAATTTTTTGATAATAATAAACCAGGAATATTACTTGTACTACGTGAAGTGGTGGTGGCCATTAAATTTGAACTTTGTAATTGTTGTAGTTGTTGTCGATGATGATGATGATGATGATGATTACCGCCGCCACTAGTATCTTGTGGTTGTAATGATGACTGATCATTACTACTAATACTATCGATACGTTGATGACAATTATTATCGATTTGATGATTGTTCATATCGATTAGATGACATGATTCATCTATTAATATGTCTATTATTATTATGTTGATGTTTTTGTTTGTTTGTTTGTGTAATTTAATTCAATTCGATTAGCGATTAGTTAAAGTGAAAGAGAAAAATTTTTAAAATTTAAATTTAAAAAAATAAAAAATTGAAAAAAAATATTCATCATCTAACTGGTGCCTGTTGTTTGTTTTGGATCAAGAAAAAGTTTCTAAATTGACTTTTTTTAATGGATCATCGATTAGTGTTTTTTTTCACTTTTCATTCTGAAATTCTTGTTGTTCAAACACACACGCACACACACACACACACACACAGAAAAATTATTGGGACAAATGAAAAATTGATCGAAAGATGGGAATAAAAGAGACTGGAGTGTGGGGAAAAAAGATGGAAAATTTTCAAAACACAAAAAAAAACGATAACAATAAATTTAGATGAACGAAAAAAAAAAAAAAGAATATATGGCACCATAAATAAAGCACACAGAGAGAAAAAAAATGTGGAAGTAATAAATATGAATAAAACAAAATACGAACGATGATCAGTAGAATCCAATAATCTTGTGGTAATCGTATTTGAATGACGATTAATAACATTACTATTGACCGCTTGTACAACACGAACGCCTTTTTTGAATATTGCGCCCACTGGATGGATGGATGGATGGATGGATAAATGGATAAATCACATGAAAAAACACAAGCAAAGCACACACACACACATAGATATATGGAATAAAGAGAAATGATGGAATTCGGTTGTTTTTGAACGGGTGGGTAGATAACCAGAGAATATTTTTTTTTGTGGTTGATTTTTTTAAGCAATGACATTTTTATGGTAATATAAGCCCAAAGAAACCATGGAAGCAGCAGCAGCAGCAGTGGCAGAATTTCATGATACAAAGAAAAAGAAAGAGAGAAAAAAATTTGATGCTTTAATGAAATGTGTGGTGTGGAATAAAATCGATTGACTTTATCTATCAATGTTGGAATTTGATAATGAAAAAAAAAAAAACACAGAAAGATTCATGCAAGAAAACACGACAACCAAGGAATTCTATCAAGAATAGAATCCGATTAGATAGACAATTGAAATTTGAGAGATTAGGAATCAGAATCAGAATCTATCCCTACAAAAGAATTATGGGGATGAAACATACAAAACAAAACAAAAAAAAACAACAATGACGACCAAAACTTTACACAACTTTATGAAAGCAAAACTTGGACGATAATAATAAAAATAAAGAAAGCCAAAAAAAAAAGTTTTCTCTCAATAAACGATGGTAAACAAACCCAAACACAAAACATATTTATCATCATGCAAAAAAAACATAAACATAAAATGAAAAAAATGGTGGACAAAAATTGAAGATGAAACAAAAAACAAATGAACAGGCGTAAAGAAAAATTTACAACGATTATATATATTCAACTGGAAAAAAGTTTTTTTTCTGGTTGTTGAAATCAAATTGCCACTGATTTTTCATAGTAAACACTGGTAAAACTAATGGGTTTTTTTGATCTTGTAGATATTTGAAACTTACAATTTTTACATTTACATTTTCGAATCAATTTTTCATCTTTAACATCTTCGTGACAATTTTTACAGAACCAAAGTGCCCTAGAAACAGAAAAAAAATTGGAAATTGAAATTAAATTGGTCGATCAATCAAATCCAATCCAGTTATGTAAATTTACCGTTTAACTTCATCGGCACTTTGTGCAATAAAAAATCCTTGTGTATTTTGCTGTATACGGATAGTACCTTTTGGATTGATCACAATCTGTGTTTGGCCATCTTCATTATTCACTTCAATAGCTAATAATAATAATTTTAATTTAACAAAACATAATTCTGTTGCTTGAGCAAATGTCATTGCAACGAATGCTGTGCTCAGATTTTCCGTATACATTTCCATACCGGTACCACAAAGATAATCATTTTGCCATTGCGGTGTATCCGGTGACTATTGATTGATGAGAAAAAAAATTAGAACAAATAAAAATTCCAACAAAATTAGAAAAAAAAACTAACCGTTTTAAATGAACGCATTGCAAATAGATTGGCCATCATTGTACTGAAACCAGGAGCTAAACATGATTGAGCAATAAAGCCTAATTTTAATTCACTAACACAGATAACATCATCACCACGTTTCCAATTCCATGATGGTATATTCAATAGATAGGCTTTATTATGATATTGCATTAGCTGAATGATGACACGAATATCATCGCTATAATTTTTTATTGAAATAACACGCATTATATTTGCCGCATCTTCTGCATCTGGATCTTGACAATATTTATTCGATAATACAAGACATGCATCAGCTTCATGTACTTTGACACGATTCAAATCGATTGGATTCATTACGGAACCTTGGAAAAATGCTACGGTTGTAAAATGTCGTTTAATCAGACCTTCTAGTTCCAGATCCGGTGGTTTTCGATGCAGAAATACAACTTCAACATCAACATCTTCACGATCTTCGTGTAGAAAATCTTTTAGAAAATGGCTTACACTTTCATATGTGATATGACCACAGACAACGATATGCCTATACGAAAAAAAAACAAAGATACTTTCATCGATCAAAAAAAATTTTTCATTAAAAATCATACTTTTTGGCTGGATTTTTCTGATAATTTCCCGCATATTTAGATGGATGGCCAACTAGTTCAGTTATTTCGGGTACCAATGATGCAAATACGGCCTTTTATCATCAATCAATCAAATATATAAATTTAGCTACGATCATTGCATAGATAATTATCCATAAATAACTTACCAAACCAACGAGAATAAATAAAACAATAAATGTACGACCCAATGTTGTTGTGCAATGTATATCACCATATCCGACCTTGAAAATGAAATTTAAAAAATTATCGATTGATTGATTTACATTTAAATAAAAGAAACACTTACAGTTGACATGGTAACAATGAGAAAATATACACATTCCCAATAGGATATGAAATGGCCATTATCAAAATTTAATGGATCACCAGAATTTTCGAGCTGGAAGAAACGTATTGAAATTAAACAACAACAAAAATTCAATAAAAGGATGAAAAAAAAACATTTTTACATACCAAATGTATGAGACCGGCAGCCGTCAACCAAACCGACACTACAATCGATACTAATTGAGCTAAACGTATCGATGATGATGTTTTCAATACATTTAGATATTGTAATATATCTGGAAATGACATTAAACGTAGTGCACGTAAAAAACGTAAACCTTGCACATTTTTTTTTTAAAAAATAAATGAAACAAAAAAAGACGAAGAAAAATTAAAAAAAAACTTGACAAAACTGACACAATGACAATGACAATTCACATTCAAAATTCTATTTCACAATAAATGTCTGTCTGCGTGTGTTTGTGTATGGGCGGTGGTGATGATGATCGAATTTTTTTCTATTTGTCAAAAGATTGAGTGAGTGAGCGAGAAAATAATCATCATCATCATCATCATCATTATTTACATAAAAAAAGAAACATGAATGAATTACAATGAAAAATTCATTTTTTGCCGTTTGCTCGATAAAAAAAACAAACTAAAATGAAATGAAAAATAAATATTTGGATTACAATTGAACAATGAGAAAACAAAACAAATTTCAACATTTTGAATTATCACCAGTTTTCGTGTGCAAAAAAAGTTTCAGACTGGGATTCATACATTCATTTTATTATTCTTGGCCTAATGCTAATTCTATTGATTTTTTTTCCTGTTCGTCGATTATTCTCACTTGTTTTGTTTTCCTGGGAAAAAAAAAAAGGGGTTTTCATCGGAAAAAAAATCAGTTTTACACTTACCAATCCAAGTACGATCCACATATATTGACACAAACGACGGTGGAATAGTGAAATAATCGACAAATGAATAAAGCTCTAACATGAACCAAAGTTTATCGGAAGCAGCTATAAACTGTGAAAATAAAAAGCAAAAAAATTCGATTACAAAAAAATTTTTTTTTTTTTTGGACTAAAAGAAAAACTTACTCGTATAAAAAAATAAACCATAAAAAAGATGTTCAATGCCAGATCCACTTGTTGTGTTGGATTTTCATTCCATTTCTGACATTTTTCAACACTATCACTGTGTGTATTGTATAATTTGATGAGAATGAATGATGTTTTGTAATTAATTTTTTTTTTTGGATGGATACGTTGTTTGTGGATTAAAAATGTGTAAAGAAGAAAATTTGGTGGCAGTGATTTTTATAATAAAAAAAAAAATGACACAAACAATAAAAGGAAGGTGTACAGGAAGGTGTTGTAATAGGAAAAAAAAGGAAACGAAAAAACAAACAAACAAACAAACAAAGACAAAGAGAGAAAGAAATAAACAAACGAAAAAAATAGAAAGAAAAAATGATCAATGATAAATCAAGGCATTATGTGTGCGCATGTTTGTGTTTATGTGGATTATTTGAATAATTACCCAGCACCAGGTGGACCAGTACTGATATTATATTTGAAAAATAAGCAAAAGGAAGAAAAGTTTTCATTCAATGGAAATCGGTGTGTAGGTAGGTAGGTGTGTAGGTGGATGGAAACCAAAAAAAAAAAAAGTTTCCAATCAAAAGTTGTTATAAATTGAATGTTTAGAAAAAAAAAAATAGAGAAAGAGAGAGATAGAATAGATATTATTAGTTTGATTTGTTTTCAACACTACATGGACATTATATTGTTCTATTTTTAATTTTTTTCGGGCTAAGGAATTGGTAAGAAAATTCTATCAAAGTTTTCATTCATGGTGAAACCAAAAAAAAAAAAAAAAAAAATCATTTCCATCGCCCACTTACTTGGATGCATCCAAAAAATAGATAACTAATGATGCAATTGATAATAGGAATACAAGTACGACCAATATACGGCCAGTAGTAGATTGGCCGGATATTAATTCACCGGCCCAATCTTTTGCTTCGGTCATCCATCCTAATTCTTGTTGTATTAATGGTTGTGAATCGGTTAGGCTATGTGATTTGAGATCTTTAAGATCACATGATGATGATTCTAATAATAAATCTTTATTGCCACCATGATGACCTTGTTGTTGTTGCTGTTGTTGTTGTTGTTGTTTATTACCGGGACCTTGTCCACCGGATTGTTGTTGTTGTTGTGATGATGATGATGAACCAAATAATACACCAGAGAATATGAATTCAAAAAATCGATATATTAAAACAATAAAAATTCCGGCTAAAAATGTAAATATACTGGACAATAAGAATGCCCACCATTTACGATCTTTAAGACAAGCAGCTTCATCCGGTGAATATGTTGGTAATGGACCAACACGGCCAGGTATTTGGCCATCACGATATAGATCATATTCAGAATAGGCAAGTAGTAACATTTTATAATTGTTTATTATATGTTACACACACACACCTACACACACAATTGTCTTGTTTTTTGTTTGTTTGTTGAAAAATTCAAACACACCAAATAAACATCTTAATTCAATGCTGTTGTTGTTGTTGATGATGGTAGTGGTGGTGGTGGAACAAAACAATGGTTTCAATATAATGGAACAAGCTCTTGCAAATGTTGATGGCATGTTTTTTTCATTTTTGGTAAATCGTAGGTAATATTTTTCGTTGATGATGTCATTGAATGAATTCACAAAAAAAAAAATTCTTATCTTTCCAGCCACTTTTTTGAAATTAGAACAAGAAAAAAAATGATCAAAGATAAGACACACATGTAGAGAGGTTGTTAATGATGATGATGATGATGATGTTTTTTTACCACTTTTTCTATCGTTTAGGATATGTCCACTTTGAATGAATTATAATTGAATAAAATCAATCAATCATATTGAATAGTGTGTCCCAGAGAACTGTTTTTGTTTAGAAGTAATGATGAGGAAGATGAGATGTGATGACGATGATGACGAGAGACAATAACATTGAGCATCCATTGGGCTTATATATTCAATTTAAAATGGAAAAAAAATTCCAATTCTCGAATGAATTTGATTATTAGATTTTCCAATCAATCTGATTTCATTTCATTTCGGTATCTTTTTTTTTTTGCTGAAATTAACCATCCATCCATCCAGCCAACCAACCAAACAAATGGAATTTTCGTTATGTGTGTGGTAAAGAAATGAAGAAAAAATCAATCCAAAGAATAGAGAGAGAGAGAGAGAGAGAGAGACGGAAATTTTTTTTTCTCAAGTTCTAAAGTGTGTGGAATAGAAAGAAAAAAAAATCGAAGAAAAATAGTGATTAAAAAGAAAAATTCTGAACAAAATAAAAAACGAAAACGCAAACGCAGCCAAGGTCATCATCCATAATCATCATCATCATCATCATCATTTAGAGTATTTTGTTCAAAAAATATGACAAAAAAACCTAATTTCATTTCACTTTCACTAATCGATAAAATGAATCGATCGAAGTTCCACCAACACCACCATCGACGAGCTTTCCAAAAAAAAGTCGGTTTTGACATTTAAAATTAAAATATCCAAAAAAAAAGAAGCAGAAGAATCTTGAATAAGACACAAAACATTCATGAATGATGATGATGAACGAATTGTATCTAAAATATAATCGGATTGGAACAACAACAACAACGACGACAATGATGATGATGAGCAACGGATTTTTTTTTTAAAAAAAGGTTTGTCGAACTACCAACAAAAAAAAGTTTCAATTCATTAAAATTGTTGACGTCACATTGTTGTGTGTGGGTGTGTGTGTGTCACACAAACGAATAAAAAACAACAATGTTAATTGAATATATTTGAATTTGGAACGGAAAATGAATTTTTTTTTTTAAACCAACCAACAACAACATCATCTTTAATAAATTAATGATGATGATGATGATAATATTTCGTGTTGCATGTAAAAACAAAATAAAAACAAAAAAAAAAAAAAAGTTTCACAAGACATCATTGCGTACATTTGTTAATAAACTTGATTCATCATCACCAGCAACAACAAGAAAAACATGCAAACACATGACAGAGAGAAGTTCCCGTTCCAGGAACAAAAAAAAAATTCTACGAAAATTCATTCAAACTATGGATGCATAATGGCTAAACAAATAAAAAAAATGCTAGTTTTTTGGACCATATTTCATGAGAAAGAAAACAGAAAAAACCGGTACCCAGGCAATTTTGTTATGTATCAATTACATCATTCATATTCAAACACACACAGTCATCACAGTCATTAGCAATAGCCAGCACAGCTTTGAGGATTCACTCAATTCAAATAAAAAACACACACACACACACATATTAAATTGATATTTAGAATGTTTATAGTCTGTGTGTGTGTGTAGCGGGAAAATGATGATGATGAAGAAGATTCTCTAAAGATAGAAACATAAGAATTGTTTTTCTTTCTCTCTCTGTGGTTTTATTTTCGGTAACAACCACCACCACCACCACCACCACCAGCATCAGCATCAATATTTTGTTTCTCATCACAAGCAAAAAAAAACATTCATCATTTCACAATTAGTGTATATAGATATATAAATATGGGAAAAAAAAGAAAACCCAAAAATAAAATATATAACCATCACACAAATGAATGGCCAAAATATGTTTGTTGTTGTTGTTTTTTAGAAGAGAGAGAAAAAAATCATAATTTGTTTTTGTTTTTTTTTTTTTTGTTGTCTCAACTGATTTTCGACAAAACAAAACAGAAAAAAAACGATTCCATCTCCACACTGTATTGGTTGATTTGTATATTCAAAAGAATCCGTTTTGAGGATCAATGATGTTTTTGAAATTTAAAAGGATTCTCATAATCATCATTCAATCTTAGTTGTTTTTCTCATTTCTGAACAAAAAAAAAAATGAAAATATGTCAAGTTTTGTAAAGCTTTCATATGTTTGAAATATTCATTCATTCATTCATTTTGCTTTTAGCTTTGCATTTTATTTGTTTTTTATTTTTTGCATTCAAACAAACAAACAAACAGACAGACAGACAAAAAAATTATTGTTATTGTCATTATTATTTATTATTTTATTGCTACATTTATATGATTTTTGTTGCTGCTGTTGTTACAATGAATGAATGAATGAATGAATATGCCATTAAACATGGAACAGAAAACAAATAAATTGCATAGAATCAAGAATTGAATTCTTGTTCATTATTCTTCTTTTCGTAGTATAAAGATAAGAGAAGAAATAAAAAGATGTAATAATATTCATTTTTCATATATTATATTTTTTACGATCATTAATTCGTTTTTATATATGATGACGAAGATTGTTCACAGAATGAACATGAGAAAAAGAGAGAGAGATTGTTCAAGTTTTTTTAAATGTAGCAATTATTTCTCTTTCATCTATTTTATTATTTGTTCTGTTTGATTGATTATTTTGTTTTTCAATTTGCATTCGGATTCGATTCGATTCGATACGATTTAATTGAATTTCATCAATCGATCCATAAAGAACATTGTGAATGTATCGACATGAACACACAAACACACACACATATCAATCAATCAATTTGAATAACAATTTTGTGGACAATAAAAGCCAAAAAAAAAGATTCGATTGATTCGATTGATTCCATTGTCCGTTAATTGATAGATTTTTGTTTGTAGCAAAAATAAAATAAAAATAGAATGAAACAAAAAAAAAATCCCGTTCAATCGACATTTTTTTTTTCTATTGCTGTCTTTTTTTAAAGTTCAAATCAAATTGTTATTTTTGTATGTGTGGGCGTTTTTTCTTCCATATTTATCATCATCCTGAACATCAGTGTCATTGTCGAATGAATAAATGGCTATGGCGATGATGATGATGATGATCATAGTTCATACGTCATTATTAACCTCGACCATCGACGTTGTTTTGTCGAATTATCGTTTCCAAAACGAGGTCGATGACGATGATGACGAAAAAAAATAAGAAAAAAATTATAATATTTATATATTCCGATGCCACGGAAATTCCACACACACACACACACACACACACACACACATACACGAACATATTCAAGCTAAACAATGTGAATGAATTTATTCTATCATCTACGATCAAATAAAGATGATGATGATGATGATGATGTTGCACCAGAATAACCTTTATTAAAATATAAAAAAAATAATATTCTTACCTTTTTTGGGATGTTAGAATTAACAGACACAAGAAAAACAGTTGACCTGAATAAAATTTTTTTTTTTTTTTTTTTGATCAATTTGATTGGATTCTATTTTTTCGATGTCATCGATTATGATGAATGAATATTGTGTTCAAAACACACACACACACACACACACACACACAATGATTGATAATTAAGTCATCGTTATCAAAATGTAATGATGATATTCAAATAATTCGATTGATTAGATTAATTAATTAATCTGAACCTAATATATTAAGGTTGATACACAGGATGAAATATTCATCCAATCAATCTAAATCAGATTAATTTACACATCACTAATAGAATTATCATCATTGATGAATCGATGTAGAATGAATATTGCTGTTTGGCAATTTTCAAAGACTATCAAATCAAAGCTATGTAATCAACAAACAAACCCAAAACACACACACACACACACACACACATTATATTATCATCATTGGAATTCATTTTTTTCACTCTTTTGAATTTGATAATTGTAGATAATGAAGTGGAGTGAAGAAGAATAAGAAAAAAACCGGATGTATGATATGGGAAAAATGAGCAAAACGAAAAAAAAAATTCTTCAAGAGGATGATTCTTAAAAACGATGAAGATGATGATGATGATGATGATGATAATGTTGATGTTTGATGATGACGATGATGATGGTAAGTAGAAGAAGAGTAGAAAAAAACGAATAACATAAACATACCACACATAAAAACATAGAGAGAAAGAGAAAAAAAATCGAACGATTTACAACAAACAGACAGACTTGGTCCAAGAATCGTATGCACGCAAATAGAATTTGATAGAAATTCTGTTTATAGAAAAAAAACATGAAACAAAGTAGTGGCATATTAGAAATATATATAGTTAATATAATATATGTGTGTAGATGTGGAATCGGGAATATTCTGAGTATCCGGTGAAAAAGGGATAGTATTGCAAATGCATGTTTTTTTCTGTTGTTCGTTAGTATAAGTTAAGTAGTGGTTAAGTATAATTTTTTTATAAATCAAATGTAAAGAATATTCTTTTATGAATATTACTGCTACCATTACTATTACTGCTACTACTAATACTGGAATAAAAACTGTTAATCCTCAATAATATATAGTAATAGCAATCTTGATGATATAGAAGGTGAATCATTCGAATTTATTCATGAATGGATAGATTCTTGTGTTGATGATGATGATGATGATGATGATTCGAACCGACCGACCGAGAAACCCAATTCCAGAACATACTCTCTCAATTCTTGGTCTTTATTTTACCTCAAATATTTTGGTTTTTTTTTTTTTATCATTCATTCATTCATTTTGAAACTCTCATAAGGCTGGTCCATTTTTTTTCTTTTGGTTTCAAATTTTTTTTTTTGCTATTGTTCTTGTCCATACAAACACACACACACACACGCAAACACATTGTTATATTAAACATTGTGGTTTTGTTTAGAAATAACTCAGGATTATGAGTTTTTTTTATCGGTATATGTGTGTGTGTTTCATTGCGTGTCATTGTTGTTATCATACACACACACACATACAAGAAGTATGAACACATCCAACAAATAGATTATATCATGGAACAAAACTAAAAGTTTCACACACACACACACACACACACACAAATTCACAGTCTATATTTCATGTCCATTTTATTTTTTGGTCATGGAAAATAGTGGAACCTAGTGTAATTCAAATAATAAAAATAGAATTCTTTACCTGTGTGTCCGTGTTTATTATATATATATAATCTATGTGTTGTAGGCATTTTTTTAATGATTGGAATCTACAGAATTCCATTCAATATATTCTATAGAATCACAAATTACATCATCATTGTCATTAATCAAATGTTTACCTGTTTATGTGTGTGTGTGTGTGTGTTACTGGTTGGAATTTATGAGAAAAATGTCATTATTGCAGGGAAACCATAACGATAACCACACATACAGAATTGCTAACATTTCAATCTATCAATCAATCAATTAATCAAAATCAAAAGTGAATTTGGATGTAAATTTTTTTTTATTGTGTGACAAAAAAAAATTTTGAATCAATGAAATCAGATGACCACATTGAGTAACGATAAATTGAATTCGATTAGCCGAAAACCAACAGGAATGAATTTGATTAATATCAACCGACCACCACAACGGAATGACACAAATTCAATTTTGATAATTACCCAGAAAAAAAATTCGATTGATCCAATTTTTGTAATGACATAAAAACGAATGAGAGAGAGAAAGAGAGAATAAACCGAATGACCATTTATTGTGATGGTCAACCAACCATGAAAATAAATTCTGGTTCGGTTTTTTTTTTGCTGTGTTTTATGTTGATGAATAATTTTTCTAGTTTCTACAATCCAAATGGATCAAAAAGATAATCATCATGATCATCATCATCATTATGATAATGAACCATGACTATGGAACTCATCGGATAATAATAATAATAATGATGATGATTATCTTTGGTGGTTGCTATTATATATGAATGACCACAATAAATCAACTATAAACCATTCGGCAAATTTTTCCAACTATTTTCACTGTTGTTGGAAAAATTTGGTCAAAATTTCATTTCAAAAAAAAAAACTACATGATTTACGATAGATTTTTTTTTCTCTGGCAAATTCATGCATATGACTAAATTATTATTATTTGATTAATTAAGAATTATGTTAGACACATGAATTGGAAAATTTTGTCATCATCATCATTGTGTGTGTGTGTGTGTGTGTGTGCATGCATGTTTGACAAAAATGACTATAATAAATATTAGCTTGTTGTTTGTATCATATGAAATTTTTTTCTGTTTATTCTATAGAAATGAAAATAAATACATGCATGTGTGTGTAGTCCCTCAAAGGGAATTGAAAAAAAATGTTTCCCGGAAACCGGAATTTCCGAATTAAAACAAAAACAAAAACAAACTTACATGGATACAAAGACAAAAACATCATCGAGAGAACAAAAAAAAAACATTTCATTTAGTCGATTGTTCAAAATGGTAATGATGTTTTGTGCTACTGTATGAATGATTTGTTGATTATTTTCAAAACAATCGGCCATTTGATTATATTATAATGAATCTCAAGTTCATTATAATAATAATGAAAATGGTTTTTGTTTGTCGTTAACATTTCCGTAATGATGATGATGATGATGATGATGAGATACATATTATCATAATTTCAGCTTGTATACAAATGATAATGATGATGAAGTTTGGGAATTGAAACTTTTGAAATTTTCTCTGTTTACATAATTGCTTTGGATTTTTTTTCTCTTCACCGGGACGATATTTTTAGCCACTTTTTATTCTGTCATGATTTTCCATATTCATAATGTTTTCATATGACCGAATTATGGAAATTCATACACACACACACACAGAATAAATTGATCTGTTGTGTATTGGAATTGAACATATTTGCTTGATGTGGATACGTGATTCCCATTTGATAAATGTAAAGGTAGTAGTTGTTGTTGTTGTTATAATCAAGCAATTTACATAATTTGATTTTCATCAAACAACACAAAAAATGGTTTTGTTGTTTTTAATCTATTGTTGTTGAACATTGACATTTATAGTCAGATTGATCAATAGTTTTTGTTTCTATAGTCATTTGGATGTGAAAAAAAATGAATCCGAATTCGGATGAAATAACCATTTGTAATGGAATTTAAAAAATGCAACGTTTCTTGAATTTCAAGGTTGAAAGATTCTCTATATAATGAATCGATGAGATGACTTGTCACATCGTCCATTAAATCGATATTTTTTTTGTCGTCGTCGTTGTCATTGTTAGGTTCCTTTTTCTGCAATACTTTGTTTTATTGAGGCTAATGAAATGAACACTAATGATGATCGATTGATCATTATCATCATCATCATGATCAATTGGTAATCAGATTTCGAAATTCGATTCTTTTCCTTTTCCATGGCTGTTGTTGTTTGCCATTTATGGTAAAAAACTTTATTCACGAATCCAGTAGTCAATACAATTGGTTACATTCAAAGTCAATTGGAGTATCACGAACATATCACGAATCATTCATTAATCATTATCATCTGATCAACATTGTATCAGGATTTTTTTTTTTTGATGATGAAATGAAATTTTTTTTTATTTGGTAGGCGTTTTTTTTCACTTGACTTGTTTCCGTTCATATATGATAAAGTCAAATCAAGTAAGAAATTCCATGATAATAACGACAAATATTAATGATGATCGAAGCCAAAAAATTTTTTCTTTTCTTTTTGATTTTTTGTCAATTCAGCAATTTTGTTACAATTCGAATTTTCGGTGACTATTTTAACCAAAATAATAATAATAACTATTTTGACAGCAGCGTTCCATAGCGGCTTGAAAAAAAGAGCATTGTTTTTGTATTCGCGGCTATATTGTATTGTTATGCACACAAAAAGATTTTCAAAATTCAAAAAAAATTTAAATTTTTATTTACAACAAAAATAAAAAATGTCAATCGGTGTTCCAATCAAAGTATTACACGAAGCTGAAGGTCACATTATTACCTGTGAAACAATTATGGGCGAAGTTTATCGTGGAAAATTAGTGGAAGCTGAAGATAATATGAATTGTCAAATGTCCAATATAACCGTTACATATCGTGATGGTCGTGTTGCACAATTGGAAAATGTTTTCATTCGTGGATCAAAAATTCGTTTTCTAATACTGCCGGATATGTTGAAAAATGCACCAATGTTCAAGAAAATGGTCAAAGGTGGATCAACAGCTAATCGTGGAAAATCGGCCATATTACGTGCACAAGGTAATGAATCTTTTCAATAAATTATTCCACAATTATAACTAATTTTATCATCAATTATAGTGGCACGTGGTCGTGGACGAGGTAATACAGTTGGTGGTAGCAGTCGTGGTCCAATCATACCAAGACGTTAATGAAAATTTTCAAATCATTATTTGTATGTTTATCCAAATAATGATGATAGAGAAACACAAAAATTTTCATCATTATCATCATCTTTTCTTTTTTTTTTTCTCATCGAATGTTTGTGTTTGTGTTTCTGTGTGTGTGTGTGTGTAAAACATATGGATAAACAAACAAAAATTATACCAATAATATATAATAAATCATCATAAGATCATTAATAAAAAAAAATCAAAAATGAAATTGCATCATTTGAATGTTTTCATCTCATTTCAAGTCAAACAATCCTGGTGGTATCATTATTTTTCCAGATTTTGTTGTAAATGTTGTAGAAATTCATAATAGCTAAATGCCGATTCATTACGATCATCATACATGTATTGTAGAAATGAATATCGTAAACGGCTATCCTCTCTATATATATGAAAACAAAATTCAATTAGAAAATAACCAATCAATTTATATCCACCTTGATGCTTACCTTAATATATGAAAACTAGGTTTAAATGGCCGATCATCCAATAATTTTTCAATAAATTCATGTATATGTTCAGATGTTTCATTATTCAAAAATGGTAATGTTATCAATGGACATGGTGATCGTTTTTGTTTTTGTTTTGTTGCCAATGTCAAATTATTATCATCATCAACATTATTATTGGCTGTTGATGAATGTTGATCATTATTTTGTATAGCGCCACCAGCCACAATATCATTACTACTTGTATCTGTAGATGTTGATGGTGGATCATCCATACCATTATTGTTATTCATAGTCATCATTTGATTAGGTAGAAAACCATTCATTTGAGCATGATTATGATTTGTATTATTATTTAATGACGATTGTGGTGGTCTGGTCATCATTGCAATTGATGGTGGTGTTGTAAAGGCTGCCTGTGATTGTTGTTGTTGTTGTAGTTGTTGTTGATCACCTTCATCCGGTATCTGTGACCATTGTGTTACATTGAATACATCCGATAAAAATTGTGGATGTACAGATTTACAAATATAAATAAATAAATGATCATATGTATCCAATAGATAAACACCATTACGATCGATATTAGCAAATGATAATTGTAATGGCATTGGTGATGATTGTTTTGGATCAAATTGATGATGTAATGGATATAAATGTGGATAAATGTAAAGCATAATATATTTCAGTGGCATAGATTTCATCTGTTCCATTGCATAAACACGTTCATCAATACGTGTAGAGATTCCTAAACGAAAAGCCGTCTACAGAAAAAAAAACAGTGGTGAAGAAAAATCCATTAAAATTCGATCGGTTATTTCATTGAAAAAAAATGTACTTACATTTTTCAATAATGCCAATGTATATAATGGCAATAAACGTGTATGATATGAAATAAACAATCCTGGATATGGTGGTGTATGTATCAAACGGAATGCACTGATTAGATCAATATTTGCATTGATCAATGCTTCACGTGCATCCTGTATCGATGCTTGACATGAACGATCAACAGCCATTTTAGTTAATAATGATGTAATAGCATCATGATCAGCTGAATCCATTATATCGATCAGATCAGATACAACTGGTAAGGCAATTGTATGTACACGTATACGCCGTTCACCAGTTGAATTTGTATATAATAATGCAGCTTGAAAACAAATTTGATTAAAATCACGTAAATCTTCACTAATGCTCAATTGTATTCCATATGCTGAATCTGGATTTACATTTGGTAATGCAATCAAATCAGTGGAACGAACAAAAAAATTTCCATGAAACGTATGAATATTGATACCACGTGTTGAACGTAAACGCATTACAGCTTCGAAACCAATCGATCTGGTCAGATAATGTTTCATATCTTCTTCAAATCGTAAAAGCATCGAATTTATCGCTAATGGATTCATTGTTCCAGCACCAGTACCGCTACCACCATAATATTTGATAGATCCACCACTATATTTAGCTATTGCAGCTACCGTAGCAAGATCGGAAAATGATGGTGAAAGATTAAATAGATCAACTGTAACTTGATGTTCTGAACATTCAAGGGCTAATTTTTTGAAAAAATCCGTTGCCGGATTCAATAATGGTGTTAATGCCTGATTCGATTGATTCGAATTTATTGTTCGTTGATTTGGATCTTCACGATTCTGCAGTACACAACCATCGGATAGATTACCGGCACTTGGTAGACTAGTCTGTATTAGTGTAATTCGTCCACCAGTTGGTGATATTAATCTGAATGCAGCCTGTAATGCTGGACCCAATGCTGATTGATGATCGGCAACAATTTTATTTGGATCATCATCATTTGAATTGCATGGAAAATTTGGCAATGTTTCACGTAGAAAATATTCAATTTTATCTCTACATGAATGAAATTTTACCAATAAACAATCGGCATGTGGTAGAAATACATCTGTGTTATTTTTTCAATGCAAGAAAAAGAAATTAATGAGAAATTTAAAAAAAAAACTTGAAAATATTTACCATGAATATCGGGCATAATCATATGAACAGGACGATCATCATTTAGATTGAAAAAATGTAATTTCGAATCAAAAGCAATAAAACCAATTAATGTTCGTGAATCACCAGGTATCTGATCTATCGATGCCAATAATGCAGATGCCAAATATCGAATATAACCTAATTGTACAGCTGATGATGTACATTCAAATACAAATAGATAGATTGCCGGCTGTGGTGGTCGTACCATATATTCAACACTAGCAACAAATTCAATTGATCCATGATTCAATTCTGGCCTGGTCATTATGTCAATCATTCTACGACTTTGATAATCATAGATAAATTCTTCAGGTACTTCATTAATTCGATGACATAGATTACATTGCCAACGTCTTTGATCCAATAGTCGTACATAGGGATTAATATACGTACGACATGATCGACAACGTACAATCACTGAATCCTGTATAACGGGAATGTTCTGTAAAAAATTTTCATTAATAAAATCATCATATTAGTAATTAATATAAAACATTACCGGATCATCTTTAAATGGATGCAACAATATACCCAATGGTAATCGTGATTTTTGTAATAATGATGCCGTTTCCGGTATTTTATGCATTGTACAACGCATTACATCTTTATCACAGCTCAGATCATCACGTCTTTGTTGTTGTTGTTGTTGACTATTCAATTGTTGTTGCTGTTGTTGTTGACGTTTTTGTTGTACAGCTTTTGTATAGATATCTTTTTCGGCCAAAAGATTCACAGCTTCCAAACGGTTAAACATTTGATTCCAACCTTGATTGACAACCATTGAGCCCATTTTCTGCGTTAATTGATCCATTCCATGATGTTGATGCAGATGATGATGTTGTTGAGTAGTGTTTGCAGAATGATTATGAAGAGGTGGTGGTTGTTGTTGTTGTTGTTGTGGGGGAATATTTTGATTCATTTGACTTATAGATGAAGGATATTGTTGTTGAGGAAAATGAGGCAATGATGATACAGGAGGTGGTTGTGGTGGCGGTTGTTGTTGCTGCTGCTGCTGATGGTTCATCATCATCGAATGTTGTGGTAATTGTTGAGGATTTCCATATTGTTGTTGTTGAATATTATTGTTTACAGGTGGTGGTGGTGGTGGTGGTGATGATGGATATTTACCACTATTCGTTACCATTGTAGATGATGGTGATTGTGGCGATGCTGGAAATGCATTCGGATACATCATCTGTGGTGGTGGAAAACGGTTCATGGTTTTTTAATTTATTTATAACCACTATGGAAAACAGAAAACAAAAGTTGCAATGAAAATTTGAAATTGAAAAAAAAATTTTACCTTTATTTTATTTAAAAAAAAATCACAAATCACAAATAAAATATATGAATTTAAACACGTATTTCAAATTAAAAATTTAAACTGATGAACTTTGACCGTGGGATAGAAGAATTTGAAAAAAAAATCGAACCAGAAATGTGTACAGAATATACAACGTGTATGTTTTTTTTATGGATTTGGATGGATACACACACACACACAAACACAAACCAATGTTGTGTAGATTCGACACGTTCGTCGTTTTTTTTTCTCTATCGATTTTCCTGTATTTCTGTGTACTCAAATCAAAAAATTTTTTTTTTAACAAGTTGAATGTATCATCAAAAATAGTAGAGGAACACAATTATTGTTGTCGTTGTTGTTTGTTGATGATGATGATCAAATCGTAATCAAATATATTTGAAGAAAAATGAGCATCTCCATCAAAATAAGCCGTAAGCAAACGTGTATTATTATTTTGGCTGTGTGTGTGTGTGTCGGTCTCATTCGACTATTGTGACATTAATCGATTGACTTGTGTGTATTTAGACTATATATATTATATGTTTAGATTCATTGTGATAAAATATGATGATCATGGACACACTGCTGCTGCTGCTGCTGTGTAGTGAGGTTTTATTTTATATTCAAAAATGTAAATTTTATGGTAAAGAAAATTAAAATGAAAAAAAGGGGTTGCATTTTTTTTTTTTTTTTTTTTGAATAGCACAAACTACACCCATTCATTTTTTTTCTCTTTCTCAATCAATCAGCTGTCAATCGATTAATGGATGTATATATATATATAACAATCGATATTTGCGAAAATATCGATTGTTTTTTTTTTTTGTTGACAATGGATGTTTGGGTTTTGTGTTTATTATGATTATTATTTAACTGTCAATTATAAATCGATATTTGCGAAAATATCGATTGTTTTTTTGTTGACAATGGATGTTTGGGTTTTGTGTTTATTATGATTATTATTTAACTGTCAATTATAACCACTGAATTCGAATGAAATTTTTAAAACGAAGTAAAGTTCATTTGTTCATTCATCCAATTCTTAAGAGTAGTGGTGTCACCATGGTATCGATTTTTTGATACAAAAAAAGAAAAACAGGAAAGAAAGAAAAAAAAATCGAATTGATCAAGGTAAAATTTTTTGTTTCTCTTTTTGAATAAAAAATTTTCACGAATCGAACCATACCTTTATCATCATCATTTATTTGATTGCCCAGAGATTGATTGTTATCGGTCGTATTGATTCGAATATTGATAAATCATTTATATCAAAGTTAACTATTATCAGCAATCGTTTGTGTTTAAAATAAAAATCTTTTTTTTTCATTTGTTGATTTTCTGTTTAGATAAATTATCATCATCATCATTTGGTTTACTTACTATATATTGCCACCTATCAATACACACGCACATACAGCAGTTTTGTGTCATCTTGAAGAATTTTTTTTTTTTTTTTTTTTTTTTTTTGGTTTTTCTGGTTCAAGTTCAATTTTCAATTGAAAAAAATGGATCGATTAAATAATTGGTTCATCAATGGTTTCCAAAATCAATCCAATGATCATATTCGGCAATTGAAATTCTATTCAACAGTGATTGGTGCCGTTATTCTACACATGTTGGTAGGTGCGGTACAAATGGGCAATATAATCACCTATATAACATCGTATATGAGATTCTATGTATCGAATGATAATAATTATGGCCGCAATACATGGATATCATCGGTGATTGTATTGGCATTCACTATATTCACAATAATGAGTGGTTATATGACAAGAAAAGTTTCATTTCGTTCAGTAATATTTCTCGGTGCCTTTCTTATTACGTACGTAATTAATAGTTGAATATGTGTGAAGTTTCAAAAATTTAACAAAAATTTCTTTCCACCACCATAAACAGATTAGGAAATTTTCTTTCATCATTAGCGGTGAATGCATCATTCGAATTTCTAGTCGTTACATATGGTTTCATACAGAATGCTGGCTGTGGTCTTATTTATTCGATCGTTATTGTAACATCGGTGAAATGGAAACCACAATATCGTGGTTTTATTGCCGGTCTTATCATAGCCATGGATTCAATATCAACATTCATAACGATGGAATTACAGACAATGTATTTTAATCCTAATAATATTCCACCCGATGATCGTGGTTATTTTACTGATCCAGAAATTCTACTTCGGGTACCAAGATATTTTCGTTTTGTATCATTAATATACATTGTTATGGGTGTTGTTGGCACCATGATGATGTTTGTTCCACCTGCTGATGTACCGCAACCATCACAGATTAATGATCATGAACAATCACAACCAGTGACGATTAGTCAAACTATTGATAATAATCAATTGTATGCATCGATGGATGGACCACAAGGTTTAACAGTACGACAATTACGAGCAACAAATATTGATGATATTGTATCCAGTTCTTCCGGAATTTTTCCATCAACTTCATTGACAGAGAATTTGATCGAAAATGATTATCTTGGCATTCTCAAAGAACAATTTGATCATGATGAAGAATTTCTTTCCAATATACGTAGAGGAAATACAAATGATCCATACAATCATTACATGACCGATACAAATACAGCAAATAATGAACGTCGTCCAATCATGAAGAATTATTATGGTGTACGCAAAGCATTACGAACACGTATGGCAATGATTCTTTTGATTACATTTGGTCTAAGCACAAATGCATCATATTTCATCGGTGCAATGGGTAAACCTTATGGTCAATCATTCATTTCGGATGATCATTTCCTATCGACAGTGATTGCTTTTGCCAATCTGGCCAATTGTTTTGGGTCATTTTTTGTGGAAAATTATTGGATCGTTTTAAATTCAAACGTACAATGATATTTATCAATTGTTTAGTGTCTGCATCATATTTTAGTTTTATATTCTCATATTATTTTGCTCATAAACTTTTATTCACCATTTGGATTATGGTCATCAATTTTGCATCAATCGGTTTTTTCAGTTCACATTTACCTGAAGTTATGAATAAATTTGGTGCCAAACATGCTACAGCCATTTATGGTATAATTCATACCGGACCGGTAATTTCATCATTAGCATTAAGTCCTTTGTTTGAATTATTGATCAATTATTATGGTTGGTTTCCAACATTTTTAACTGTTGGTTTTTTGAATTTTACAAGTAAGTTTCATGTTCAGATCAGTTTTTGAAAAAAAAATTTCTAATTTCAACTTGCAACAAAACAGGCATGGTGATCATTATGATTTACTATCGAGCACATACGGTCATTTGAATGAGAAAAAAATTTTTTTTTTGGCGTAATTGGCTGGTCCAAACAATGCACAATATATAATCTAGGAATTTTCAACAAATTTTTTTTTTAAATTTATTTTTTTTATGTTGAGATAAAAAAGTTGATTAAAAAAATTTTTTTTTCTGATCAAAATTCGTGCTACATTCAAAACCGGCTATTGATACATGAGTGCATCATGCTTGGTTGATATAGTGCCGACTAAAATTCGATACTCGGCGGCATTGTTTTTTGTTTGTTTGAAATTCACTATTATTGATTTTCGTTTTTTTTTCAATTTTGAAATCAATCAAAAATGTCAGACGAATTAGAATTGGCACCACAAAATATTGAACAAGAATTTGATGAAGATGGTAAATTGAATGATTTTTTTTCGAAAATTTTTGATTCTAAATCTGATTCTCTTTTTTTTTGAACAGAAACAGTCGTTAAAATCAAAGAAAAGGCAACAAAACGTAAAGGACGTGGATTTGATGAAGGTAATAAATGATTTCGAAATTTTGACACACTATTAAGTATTGATTTTTGATTTAGAAACGGCAAATCGAGGAAATTATGGCCAATTTGAAAGCGTTGAAAGTGAAGGCAATGAACCAGGACCACAAAAATGTAATGCAACTGTCATTTTCATTATTATAACGTTTTGATTTAATAATCCAAATTATTTTAGCTGTCGAAGGTTGGATCCTTTTTGTAAGCGGTGTACATGAAGAAGTGGATGAAGATGATGTTTATCAAAAATTTGCCGAATATGGACAAATAACCAACATACATATCAATTTGGATCGTCGTACCGGTTTCTATAAAGGTTATGCATTAGTTGAATTTGAAACATTTCGTTCAGCATCGGCTGCATTAGAAGCATTAAATGGATCAGAATTATATGGCCAAAATATTTCTGTTTCATGGTCTTTCGTAAAAGGACCACATGGACGTAGCTATAAACATTAATCATCATTTTCCAAATAATTTTAATATAATTCAGACATTTTTTTTCCCACCATTAATTTCTCATCAAAATGTATCATTTCATTGAATTATAATCAATTGAAAATAACATAATAATAATAATTAATAATTAATAATTCACCTATTTCATCATTTCAATGATCAGTAAAAATAATCGTTATCTGTTGAAATGGTACCCTAGTATTCGAATGATCAATATATTTCATAAAACGTTGACATTGATAATTACGATAAACAATGTTGAGATAATTATTATTCGGTTCAATTTCCAATACTTGTTCATCGGATTCATCGGTTATATAGGCAATATATCCACCACCATTTGTTGTAGCTAGATGGCCACTATCATCACCATCATCATGTTGATCAACATAATCATCGTCATCGTCTAATTCTTCTTCGTCTTCCTCATCATCATCTAAATCTTCATCCAATCCATCACCATCATCATCATCGTCATCATCATCACTATTCAATTCAATCAATTCAGGTTCATGTTTTGAATTTTGTTCCATATCATCATCATCATTATCGCTGCTTTTGTTGTGCATTTCTGGTTTTGATTCAATTTTTTCTTCTTGTTTTTTCGATTCTTCTTTGGCATCTGATTTGGTTTCCATTTCGTTTTCTGGTTCTTTCTTTGTTATTGTTGTTGTTGTATCTTGAATCATCATCATCATCTGAAACGTCAATGATTTCTTGATCACCAAAATTTTTCGTACTTTTCACTATAGGACGTGGTACATTGAAAAAGAAATCTAAATCCAATGCTCGTTCATGAATATCGGGATTAATATCCGATGATAATGAATAATCACCATGATTCCATTCGATTATTGCACCACGAGTTTTATGATTATATTTTGTCGTTGTTTCTATGGATGATAATATCGATGTTGATGGTTCCTGTATCAATTGAACATCATCATCATCGTTATCATTTCCATTTTGGTTTTGTTGATTTGTTGAATTCTTGGATTTCGATACAAATATAACACCGGTAATGGTTGTGATTAATTTATAGAAATTTTTCGAATTAATTAATAGATAAAATTCTCTAAGAATATCGGGTAATTGTTGAAAAGCTTGAGGATGAATAATTTGATTTCGAAAAAATAATGGTTTATAATTTTTATGCCAAAGTTTTCGTACCTGTTCAGATGATAATGCCTGTTGAATTTGTTCACATTTATCTTCATTAATGAAATTTTTCAACTGAATTTCTGAATTCCGATTAAAACTGGCACGAATTTGTTTCTGTGTAAAATTTTGTAAATAGATCGGATTAATCCAATGTAGAAAATGTTCGGTTAGATCATCTTCAAGAATTTCATTTTCTGGAAAAGCCGATAATTGTGGATAACGGAAAATTTGTCCACTAATGGATGCATCATCCGAATGAAACCAACCATTTATTGACCATCGTGGTGAACGATTGGTCAGAATTTCACCAACCTGATGGAATGATTTTGAATTCACTTCGAAAAAAGCCAATGTATTCGATTTGGGTGTTAACTTGGTGGTTATTTTTGTTGGTTGTGCATCATAATGTCCTTCGGCATCTGGTTCGGTGGCAAATAATTCCAATTGACCACCGTCTGTAGCTGACCATTGTTCATCGACTAGATATAGGATGAATGCAATTTTCCGTTGTTCAAGTTGATCATCATGACAGAGAAGATAATAATCTAAAAAAAGAAAAATTCAAATTAAATTGTTAACCATCATTTTCATTTTATACCATTTTGTTCATATTTCGAAAATGTTAATGCTACATTATTATTCAATTTCAGTCCAGTAATTTCTTCTAACAATAATTTCACTTTGATTCGGAAAAATGTGACAATATTCTCTAACAATGGATAGGTTTTCAAATCATTCGATTGTTTTAATGAATAGAGATCATTATTACGTCGTTCCATCGATATAGTATTAGTATTGACAGCCTGAAGAATTTGTGGCAAAACTAGCTGATCATTTTCAATGAAACGATGAAGCTGAAAAACTTTGAACGGTTCAATGGTGATTGTCGAACATTCTGATTCCAGTGGATTGGATTCATTATAGGATTTTTTCAATTCATCAATTTTATCTCGAAATATTGGATTCAATTCAATGGAATCAATTTTTATATTTGTTTCATCTTCTACAGTGGATTTCTGGTCACTTGATGATGATGATGACGGTGGTGGTGGTGGTGGCTGATTCGATTTGTCGTCTTCATCGGTTGTTTTCAATTTTTTATTTCCATCAGCCGAATGATGTTGTTGTTGTTGTTGTTGATCATCGAATTTTCGTTTCAAATCAAAATCAAATGATTGATCATGATGCTCATTATCCATATTGAATGATATAAGATATTCAGCCCGAAATTTTGTTCCCCATATACAAATTTTCAAAGTAAAATATAAAATAATTAATTAAATAAAAAAAAAATTAATCTCGTTAACGATCGAATCGATCGAATCAAAAAAAAAATTGATTGAAAAACTCAAAATAACATGTGTGTGTGGGTGGCTATATCGACCAACACGAACAATTCAATGTTGAAATTTTTTTTTTCAAAATTTCCGATTTATTCGAAAAATGATAATTTTATTTATTATCCACTATGATACAAAATATGAAAAAATTTACAAATTGCAAGGAAATATTTTTTTTTTAAATGAGAATAAATTCCAATTACAATAAATTAAATGGAATGATAATGGTGAGTGATTGTTTTTGTTTTTTTTTTGCCTTTGCTTTGTCATTTAATGATGATGAACATTTACAAATGAACGTTTGTGGTGTTTGATCAATCAATTAATGGTCATACAATATTATTTTTAATCATCAAATCATGATGATTAATATCGGCTGCCATTGTTGCCGATGTTGTTGTTGTTGATGTTGTTGTCGAAGCCTGTAACAGGTGTACTTTATCCGTAGAATTTTTTGACCATAAATGATGGACACGAAGATAAACAATAATGGATACAAATACAATCAATGAACAATGTAATGATGGTAAACGAGCACAATAAAGAAAAGTGGTCAAATAGATAAGATCCAATGCAATGGCATAGATGAATAACATAATTTTATGTTTACGTAATGCAGCAACTAAACCGGCCATTGAAAATGCAATTACCGATGTAAGTATGACGACATTCATTAGGATTGCTGGTTCTATAATTTGAATTTTTTTTTTTTAATAAAAAGAAAACTCGTGATTAATTTTTCGATTCAAAAACATCAAGATGAAAAATGATGACACTTACCATGTTTTTCATACATTGAATGTGCAGTACGTTGCATTGGTTCGAACATCATTTTGGCCAATGTTCGATTTTTCGATGCATGCCGTTCATAAACAGAATCAGTTTCTTCAATATGATCGATTAATTTTTTTAAAAATTCCAACGTTAAATTCAGATGATAAACAGACAATATGATCAATGTGATGATCGAAATGGTTGTCATTGTACGTATGATGTTGTATTCAATCTTGTGAAATGTAATGGCCATTTTGTTTTGTTTTGTTTTGTTTCTGATTTGTTTCGTAGACGAGGTATAATTTTTATATGTAGAAATTTTTTTTCTTCAGATGAAATTCACAACATTAAAAAACAAATAAAAAAAAGAAAAAATAATTGCAACATTTCAATTCAATAATGTTCATTTTTTTGTCGAGATATGCACAGGATTTTAATTTTATGGTCCTTTGGTGATTATCGTTCTGGTGTTTTTATATACGATGAAAAAAAAATGCCACAGAAGAAAATTTTCTTTCTGTTTTTGATTTTGCGCTTCAAATTCAGAGAAAACTACCCTTGGGTTTTCTTATATCGTCCAATTATCATTATCAATTTTTTTTTTTCGTAATATAAGTACAACGAAAGCAATGATTGTGAAATCGACAAAATCAAATTGATTGATGATAACGGTATTTATTGACTGATTTGATTTGATTGATTGATTGATTGATCGATTTGTGAATTGAATTGATGAGTAATGTACGAAAATTTATGTGCTGCTTTTTTTTCTGCTGCGACAAATCAAACGACCAAATGGAAATTCCACGTGGGAATAGAAAAAAAAATTGGTAACAACAACAACAACAAAAACACAGAAAGAAATTTTTCGGAAACCCAAAAAAAAACTTGTTGACAATTTTTATGGAATTCGAATTCAATTTTGGCATTCGATTCGATTCGAATCGAATCATCATCATCAAATTTTTTTTATGATTATGGTTGTTATTCACGTTTTTTTTCTTCAGATGAATGTCAATGTTGAATGAAAAAAAAATGATTTCATGTGACTTTGATGTGTCGTCGTTGATAATAATCAAGTGCAGTTGACAAAATATATTCAAATCTTAATGGTCTTGTCCGTGATTGCGTGTGTGTGTGTGTGTGTGTGTGTGTGTGTGTGCATAAACATCATCATCATCATGACCACAAACAACATTATTTTGGTTGAAATCGAAAAAATTCTCATTTATCTCATTCACACACAAACACATTTTTTTTCCGTCTTGTTGTTATTGTTGATGATGAAATCTTTTTCATTATTATTATTATTATTCGTCATTGAAATAAGAAAATACGATTGATTGAATTATGGTAATAATCTATTATCAATGATTGACAATGTACCATTTTCATCATCATCATCATCATAATAATTGGGTACGTACAATCATCATTACATATTTAAAATTCATATAATCGATCAGATCATCGAATCATCATCATCAATTTACCTACTTTCCGTCGCCCCTTTCAGCTCAAAGGCTACGAAACACACACACACACAAACCGAAGAAATTTGATCAAAGACGTGAAAAATTTTTTTTTTGTAGTTGACCCGTTATAATGTGTGTTATAATAAATCGGAAAAAAAATTTTTGGGAAATCATTGACGACGATGATTATGATGATGATGATGATAAAATGGTAATGATGATTGCCAATTAATGAATTAATCAAATAATTGATTGGTTGATTGCCATCACATTAATTTTTTTTTCATTTTCTTGATTAACTTAGATTTGCTGATTTGGTTGTAATTGGTGTAGCAAGCAAACAAAAAACAAATGTACAAACTAAAAGTGAACAAATTTTTTTTTTTTTTTGCTATCGATATCAAATTACATAAACAGAAATGAATTTGTAACACCAAAAAAAAAAGAAAAATCGCTGAACTGGTCCAGAAAAATGACAACAACGAAATCAAAATTTTTAGAAATTCGATGGATTGGATTTTAAATTTTTTTTGTTCAAAAATAATGAACTAAACGATGAGAATCATAGAAGAGAAAAATCATTTGCCACAAGCAACAGGTTGTCAATGTGTGTGTGTGTGTCTCAGTTTGATTCGAATGCAAAGATTGATGAATCTGAAATGATATGGAAAACTGACTGACTGAATGATTCAACCCAAATTCGTTTTGGGTTTGATCAATTTTTTTTTTCGTTTTTGTTTGACAGTTTCTGTTTTCAGTGTGTGTGATTGTTCCACCATCATCACCACTACAACAACAACAAAAACAACAACAAAATGAACACATTGCATTCGTCAATCAGAAGCTCAATAAACTATTATACTATACTAAATGAATCTTTTTTTTTCTCTCTCTCTCTCTCTCTCTCTCTCTTCAATCTAGGTTTTTTTTTGACAATTTCAAAACAATTGTTGTGGATCTATCTATCAATCAATCAATCAATGATGATGATGATGATGACGACGACGACGATGTTCGAGACAAAAACGGAACGTTTCTCTTTTGGAAATTTTCTCGCAATCAACAAATCCGGAATTCCTTTTCTTGAAAAACCCATGTTTATGAATATGATATCTGTTTTTTTGCATTGGATCATATATGTTGTTGGATCACATACCATGGCCAAAGATGAAAAGAAAATCATGCGTATGTATTTGATTTTTGACAAGTAATCGTTGAATGATGATTGTTCAACATGATTAAACATTATTAATGTTTACATCCATGGTTGAATGGATCATCGATCGATTTGATAAATGTCATATAGAAACAATGGATCGTATACAACATTCAAAGGCCATCAATCAATCAATCAACAGGAAAAAAGGCGTTTACCACCTGGTTTTCAAATGATAATACCGGCTAATGATTATGGTAATGATACCATCCAATATATCAAACACAAACACACGGTGTGAGGTTTTTATTCATCAAAAAAAAGGTTTGTCTTTTGCCCTTTCCATCTCATATGATGTTGTTTTTTTTTGTTCTAGCCAAATCATCTAAAATGTGACGTGATATTGGCTTTGTGCCATTGAAGGATTTCCTTTGATTTCGTTTTTTTTTCTCATCATCATTATCATCATCATCATCTGAGAAGAAAATACTGAAAGGAAAGAAATCCAATCATATATGAGTTCAATACATAATCAACTTTCTCATCGTTGATTAGATCCAAGATGATTGAATTATTTCATCGACGACAACAACAAGATTTGTTTGATCATCACAAATAGAAGACAATTTCAAAAAATTATCTATTGGTTTCAGAACAACAACAAAAAATCGTAATAATAATCAACAACAATGAAAAGAACAACAACAAAAATGGCGAAATTTTTTTGTCGAATTTCGAAATCCAGTTTTTTTGTGGTTTTGGTTTCGTTTTCCACCACACACACACACACACACACAGCTAATAATATCCACATAGCTCAAAGCTCAGCATAACGTCTCAGTCAGAAAATAGAAACCAAAAAAAATTGGCAATTGGCAAAAAGAAAAGAAAATTCTTCCATTTTCTCAAAATATTTCACACTTTTTGATCAACAATTTTAAAATGATAATTGAAATATCAAACTTGATCGGAATCATTTTCATCAGATCGCCATTTGAGAATCCAAAGATCAAACATGGATATATGGACTTATTTGTAGGAAAAAAAATGTCAAACAAAGACAGACAACAAAAAAACCAGAAATGACAAAAACTTTTACAACAACGACGATCATTAATATCGTTATCGAATTTTTTTCTGTTGGTAAAAACGAAATGATCATTTCGTTGATTGGTCACGAGCATCGGTGATGATGATGATCGTTTTGTGTGTGTGTGTCCACATTAATCAATCGTAAATTGTTTACACGAACGTGTGTGTGTGTGTGTGCTCTACGCTTTGCTTTGCTATATGCCGTTTATGGTATATTGTGGAGAAAAATTTACTTAAATATAAAATAATCATTTGTACCATAAACGAATACGGCGACAACGAGGACGGCAAAGATGATGACGACGACGACAACAACGACGAAATATGATTGACAATTCGGGCCACGAGTTTGACATATGATCAATTATATCAACATTTCGAAAGAAAGAAATAAAGAAAGAAAACAAAATCTCGATGATGATCCATTCATTGTCGAAGAAAAGAAATGATTTGTGATTTGATTTCTATTTCAAAAAAAATCAAATCACAAAAAAATTGTACATCCGTAGGCCGTTGAATTTGAGGGCATTTTTTTGGTGTTAATGATGATGATGATGATGTTCGTTCATTCATCATCGAACATTGAATTGAGACCGAAATTTTTTTTTTTTTTTGTTTTATCAAAATCAAAATCAATTTCAATTCAATTCATTGACATTTTTTTTCCAATGAAGAAAAAAAAGGAAATGTTTTGTTTTTATTTCGAAAAAAAATGTACATACATCGGGGTCGGAATATTTTTGTTCTGTTTTCTATTTTGAAATTTGCCCGTATCATTATCATTGGAAATCATTATAAATATCGCCAAGTTTATATCATGAATAAATTATATAAGTCTGATCTATAAGGGGTCATCATCATCATCATTATTGTTCGTGGCAAAATTAATGACAAAACAAAAAATTGGTTTAGGCCTTTGTTAACACTTTTCAGTCGCAGAGAAATAATAATTTTTAATAATCGGAAAAAAAGTTTCTGGAAATTCAAAAAATTTTTTTAATTCGAATCATTTTTTAATTTTGTTTCCAGAAATTTTCCATTGTTATTATCATCATGATTATCAATTTGTACATTCACTTGAACCGTGATCGATTGGCCATTTATTTATTTTTTTTTTCTCGTCTGGTTGCTTGTTTGTTTGTTTGTTATTTTATGCCGAATAATTCTGCCCCATTACATTTGGCCTTTTTCTCTCTCTTTCTCTCTGGAGAGGGTCATGTTCTTTTGTGATTTTTTTTTTTTTTTTTTTTTTTGAAAAAACATTTTTTCACTAATGTATGTGTTGTGTTTACCTTGGAAAATTTTTTTGTTTGACAACACGAATTGAGCGCGTGATTTTTTGTCAAAATTTTGAAATTTTTTTTGTTTAGTTATGCCATCTAGTGTATAGAATAAGTATCATTTTTGAATATCGATTATATCGATTCTATTCGTCCATTATTTTTTTTGTCACAACTCAAAAATGTGTTTATATGTACGTCTGTTTTTAATGTTGAATTTTTTTGAAGCCGATATATCGTGTATGTTTGTCAACGAAAAATTAATTTGACAGTTTTGTTGAATTGCAAAACAAATCTACATCATCATTATGGGCCGAATTCTAATCAAAGGTGGTGTTTGGCGTAATACCGAAGATGAAATTCTCAAAGCAGCTGTGATGAAATATGGTAAAAATCAATGGTCACGAATAGCATCATTATTGCATCGAAAATCAGCCAAACAATGTAAAGCACGTTGGTATGAATGGCTAGATCCTAGTATTAAAAAAACCGAATGGTCCAGAGAAGAGGAAGAAAAATTGATCAATTTAGTACGATTAATGCCAACACAATGGCGTACAATTGCATCGATTGTTGGCCGTACAGCATCACAATGTCTTGAACATTATGAACAGCTATTGGATCAGGTACAGAATAAAGATAAAAGTACTGTTACCAATTTGGATGATCCAAGGAAATTGAAACCAGGTGAAATTGATCCAAATCCAGAAACAAAACCGGCTCGTCCTGATCCAAAAGATATGGATGAAGATGAATTGGAAATGTTATCGGAAGCTCGTGCACGTTTGGCTAATACCCAGGGTAAAAAAGCTAAACGTAAAGCCAGAGAAAAACAACTGGAAGAAGCAAGACGTTTAGCTCAATTACAGAAAAGACGTGAATTACGAATGGCCGGTATCAATCTGCAGATACGAAATTGGAAACATCGTCGTCATATTGATTATAATACGGAAATTCCATTCGAAAAATCTGTGCCGGCCGGTTTTCATGACACATCCGATGATTCATATGAACCAGCTGGTTTAGATTTCAAACGTTTACGGCAACAACAATTGGAAGGTGAATTACCATCGGTTCGTGAAGAACGTGAACGTAAAAAAGATAAAGAAAAATTGAAAAAGAAAAAAGAAAACGGTGTACCAACATCATTGAATAATGTACAGAATGAATTTCAACGACCACGTAGTAAATTAGTTTTACCAGAACCAGCTATATCGGACCAAGAAATCGAACAAGTAGTTAAATTAGGACGTGCCAGTGAAATGGCTAAAGATGTTGCCGAAGAAACTGGTAATGTTGCATCGGAAACATTATTGGCTGATTATACGATCACATCATCAGCAGTGAATTCAATTCGTACACCAAAAACAGCTGCATTAAGTCGTGATAATATAATGGCTGAAACGAAAAATTTGCTTGCATTACAAAATGTTGATACCCCTTTGTTAGGTGGTCAAAATGTACCATTAATCGAAGTTGCCGGTGGACAAACACCGGGTGCCCGTACACCAGCTGGTCTAACTGTATCTGGTTTATCCACTGGTGGTGGTATGACACCAAATACAATGATTTCAACACCATATCGATCTACGCGTTCCATAATAACCGATGGATCGGATGCTACTAATAATAAAGCTATGGTTCCGGTACCTACACCTGGTACCAGTGGTGGTCATATTCAAGATGGTTTCACACCACTTTCAACACCTGTAAGAGATAAATTATCGATCAATCCAGAAGAAGCATTAGCAATGGAAGCACAACAAGATCCAAAACAATATACAAAAACTGTGAAAGAAAATCTTCGAAAAGCATTCTCTCAATTACCACAACCAAAAAATGAATATGAAATTGTTATGAATAATAATGATCAGATTGATCAACCAAATGATGATGATGATGAAAAAATGAATGATCAAGATGGTAATGATGATAAAATGATTGTTGATCAAAGTGAAGTGGATGCTGCAAGTCGTAAACGTGAACAAGATCGTATAAATAATGAACAGAAATGGACACAAGCTGTTCGACGTAATCTACCACGACCATGTGATGTTCGTGCATGGTTATCCATATTGCAGCAGCAACAACAGCAACAACAATCATCGACAAATCCATTATCACAGGCTGATGATCTTATCCGACAGGAAATGGTGAAAATTCTTCATTTTGATGCTTTGATGAATCCAACAGATGAACAGGCTTTATTTTCAGCGATCAAATCAAAAACGGTTAAATCTGATTCAAAAAATTATGAAACACAATTGGCCATGTATTTGGAACGAAATCCAATCGAACCAATTGAAGATGAATATCTATCACAAGCAAAACAAATGTTACAAGAAGAAATGTCCACATTAAAAGATGGAATGGAACATGATGATTTATCGGCCATTGATTCGGCCAAAGTTTGGGATGAATGTTATTCACAATTATTATATTTACCAGCACAGAATCGTTATACAAAAGCATCAATGGTATCGAAACGTGAACGTATTGAATCGATTGAATCACGTTTAGAACAGAATCGTCAACATATGACACGTGAAGCAAAAAAAGCTGGTAAAATTGAGAAAAAATTATCCATACTATTAGGTGGTTATCAACAACGTTCACATGAGATGGCCAAACAATTTCGTGAATGTTGGCAACATATTGAACAATCACATTTAGAATTATATTCATTCAATGCATTGAAAGTACGTGAAGATTGTGCTATTGAAAAACGTATTGGACAATTAAAACAGGATGTTAAACGACAAGAACAACGAGAGATGACGCTACAGGCACGTTATGCAGAATTATTAAAACAACGTGAAGAATTACAGGATCAAATTATGATGACCACCACCACCACCACCACCACCAGCAGCAGCAGCAGTGATAAGACGACTTCAGCAGATTAAATCTTTGGATAAATCATCATTTCCATTGACATTTGATTCATTTTTCATTTCATTTATTCTTTTTTTTTAATATTTGTGATTTTTTTTTCCTTCATTTGAAAAAAATACAAGAGCATGAATTAAAAAAAAAATTTTTTTCAATAATCCACATACACATCTGGTAATAATAATAATAATTTGTGGCTGAATGATTTAAAATGTAAAAATAAAACTTACATATTAATTAACAACAATCTGAGTCAGTTTTTTTTTCGATTTTTTGATTTTGTTTGATTTGTTTATGTTGGCCGTGTGTATAAACTATTGCCTGAAAAAGGATTTGGATGGATTTTTCTTAGTTTGTGTGTGTGGGGGGGGGCAAGCACACCGGCCAAAAATCATGTGGCCTAATTTCATAATGATTCACCAGAAATATTTTTTTTTTTTTGATTTGATTGTGAGTTGAATCACAAATTGATAATATAAACAATTCATCGAAATGACGTTGATGATGATGATTGAAATAAGCAGTAAAAATAGATGATGATGATGATGATGGTTTTTAATAACAATATATATTCATAGTTCGAAAAAACCAAACACCGATGTCAGATTGAATTTCGGTTTCTCATGATCATGGTGATGATGATGATTTGAAAATTCTTTTGCATCAAACTCTGATCGATTGATCATCATCATGGTAATCGACAATCGTTTCGATCATTATTGATGATGATGATGATGATGATGATGATGATTGTTTTTTTTTACTGAAAATCGGTAACAATCGAATTCGAATACTGAAACGAACGATACGATTCGTCCATCACAACCGAATGTCCACAATTATTAATGAGGTAAATTTTTTCTTTGTTTTGATTGATGTTTCTAATTTTGTTTTTTTTTAAATTCGGTCACAAATATGATACGGCATCACGAACATTTGGATCATCATCATTTTTGGACGAATCAAATTTCATCAACAAAAAGCAAAAAAAAAATTCTTGATCTTATCATCATCATTTCATTATTATTTTATTGATGTAATTTGATTCGATTCCTGTAAATTTTTTTACTCGTAAGTTTCATATTTCCAACTATATGTAACATATGTGTGTGTGTGTGTGTGTGATTACAATAATCTTTTATCATCATCAACAACAGTATGTATATCTGTATGGTCTGATTACAGCTGCTTATTTGGTTTGCCGGTAATTCTGTGTCAAACAAAACAGAAACAAAAGTGGAACATAAAAATGAAAATCGATAGTGATAATGTAAATGAATTTATAGCCGAATTGGCACCGATGAAAGAATTGAAATTTTGGCATGATTTTATCGCTAATCTATTGTGTGGGCAAAAAACATCATCATCCACTAAAGGTTATGATGACATCGAATTCCAGTTAAATCCACCGCCATTGGTATTGAATAAAAAAGCACCGGATAAACAAAAAGCTGTACGAATATTGTCACCAATACCACCATCACCACCACCACCACCAGCAACATTAGTTGCATCGAATCAAAAGATCACGATTCAAAAACCAACGATTCCACCGAAACCTAAATGTATTCAAACACATCAAGTAAGTTTGCATGCACATCGATATTTATAAATATAAGGGGCGTGTGTGAATATGATAACGCGTGTTTAATCATCATCATCATCATGATAATCGTGATCATCATCATCATCATCATTTTTTTTTTTTTTTTGACAAATTGCATACGATTAATGAATGAATGAAAAATGATTGTTAACCACGAAAAAAAAAATAGAGTAGATAGAGTAGAATCTAATTCTCGAAATTTTCGATTATTGTGTTAAAATATTCAAAACCATCGTTGGCAATCGAAACAGATTGTTTTCTATTTTCCATTCTGGATTAGATTTTAGATTTTATTTTCGCTGTTTTAGATGATTGACGATAATTGAATTGGATGATCAAAAAAAAAAAAAAATGCAACCACCTTTTTTTCAATCCCAATATATACATCAATCAATTAATTTTCCAGAGATTCTGGTGTGTGTGTGTTTGTTGGTCGGTGAAAAAATTGTAACAGAAAAAAAACATCACATCAAATCCATGCAATAATCACATTATTATCGCAAACAACATTCAATTTTTTTTTGTTACAAAATAATAATACTGACTGAACATAGAATCTAACCATAGGTCTGGTCGGTAAATAATCGAATTTTCATGGCTAATGATGATGATGTGATTCATGTTGCTAATGTTTATTTCTCTCTCTCTCAGTGTGTGTGTCTGTGTGCATTACATCCAATTGGATTTTGAATGAAAATTAGATTGTCTCATGTGAATGATGTCATGGCTAACGATGACTACGATCATCGAGAATCCAGAATAGCCCTGGTATCTCATCTCATCTCATAGTTTTATTCGTTTTGAATCCAATCTCAATTTGCCAATTTTTTTGTTGTTGTTGTTGTTGTTGCTGAGCTTCACTTTTAAATTGTGTATTATTATTATTTCTAGAAACGATCACACACACTTGCACATTGTATGAAAAGTGAATGATTTCTCTATCGATTTAGTTAGTGTTTGTGTATGTGTGTGTGTGTGTGTGTGCCATATTCCATCAGAATGGAACAACTTAATTGTTTTGCAATTTGACGCGCCCGTTTTTGCGTGCATTATTTTATTGAGTGTGTGTGTGTGTGTGGTGTGTCAATGAATTTGATATGCTTGTCTTGTTGTTTGTGTGTGTGTGTATATGTATGATATTGGCATTAGAACGCGTGTGAATTTTATTTTTCTGAATGATGATGATGATGATGATTTTCAAAAAATTGATTCGTTATGGAATCATTATTTTTTCCATGAATTTTCAATGAAAAAAATTTTTCCGGTAAATATCGAGTTATTTTTTTTTTGTTTTGTTTTGTTTTTCCAGAAAAATTTCCAAATAAAAAAAAAAAAAAAAAATTGTACACCTGCCTTAAGATGCATCGAATTGGAATTGATTGCATTGAATTTTTTTGTGTGTTGTAAATTAAATCCATCTGGTTAGAACATTCTATTTGGGCCACAAAAAAATATGTTTCAAATACAGAACATACACACACACGTGTTATTTCTAATGCAAATGTCTTGTCACCAGAAAAACAAGCCAAACAATGATTTTGATTGTATTTGTGTGTGTGTGTGTGTGGACAATCCAATCCAATCCAATTTTAATTTTATTTACGAATGCAAATTTTCACTTTCATGGATAATGTTTTTTTGTTTGTTTGTTTGTTTGTCTTTTTTGTATTATGTCAATGAACCATAATTTACATTTCTCTCTAGGAATCAATGTTATCATCATCATCATCATCATCATGATGGTTGTTAATGACCGCTGATGATTCAAAAATAGATACGGATTTTCTAGAGAAACAAAAAAAAAACGGAAAAAATTTTTATCCTGAAAATCTCTCTGTGTCTGTATGTGTGTGTGTACTGAAATTCAAGGTTTTCAAGAAAAAAGATAATCGATTGTTGTTGTTGTTGTTGTTGTTGCTATCTCGGGCACATTCACAGAGAAAATGATCTAGTTCATCATCCTGATATTCTGTATGTGTGTGTGTAATGTGTGTGTTTTGAATCGAAAGTCAGAGATGAAATTTATCTATTCTTGTTTTGAGATTTGATGAAAAAAAAAACAAAAATTCTGTCGATTGTCGATTTTGCTGTTTTTTTGTTTCTGTTTATTTTTGGCATTCAAAATACATATATACAATGATTGTAGTTATTTTTTTCCATTCATTCGTATGAATTTTTTTCGTTCTTGGCAATCGTCAACTGATGATCATGGGTTGATGGTAAACACAACTACAGAATATTGAAATGAAAAAATTTTTTTTTTTTTGCTTTTCGATTGTCGATTTGAAAATAGAATTTTTTTCCATCTCATCATCAGCATGTTCAAAAAAAAAACAAATGTATGTGTGTGCATAGATTCTTACTAAAGTAATCAAATGTGTGTGTGTGGAATAATAAAGCTTTATGCTTAGAGAATAGTGTATAATAACAGCTGTGCATATTCTGTGTGCATATTGTTGATTAGCAAACAACAGAATTTTCTTTTTTTTCTCTGTTTGCCTCTTATATTGTTATTGTTTATCATTACAGATTCTTTTGTTCTTTATTATCATTACATTACATTTATTTCCTGATTGATATACAATTCCATTATATTACAAGGTGCCAATTCTTTATTTTTTTTATTATTCTCTTTTCATCATTACTTGGATACGGCATTCTTTTTTTTCACCAGAACAATCATTTAGAATTTGATCTAATTTTTTTTTTTTGATTCTCAATGATGCTGTCTTGTTTGTGTGTTTGTGTAATCAATTCAATGATGATGATGATGATGAGGTTCATATGATCGATTAGGTAGTAAAGATTCTGGTTTTTTTCTTATTTATTTTTAGTCTTATTGATTCTTGTTTTTCTGTTTCTGTTTTCGTTATTTTTACAGCCATCAAACACTAATGCTTCTATATCTAATAAAACGATTATATATCATTATTTACCACCACCACGTGTACGGATAAAATTTGGACGTAAAATAACTACAACACGAACTTGGATTCCACCGCCGCCACCACCACCATCATCATCTCATAGAGTTGAAATTGAACAACAGCAGCAAGAAGAAAAACCGCCATTAACCAGGCAATTCAATCGACAATTATCCGAAATTTTTTCATTACAAAAGCCATTATATTCAACAATATTTATACCGAAAACGCGAAATAAAATTTCATCCACGACAACTACAACGACGACGACGACAACAAATCAAAGAAATAAATCTGACATATTCGTTGTGAATGCAAATAATCAATATCATCAACGATTTCTTAATCAATCGTCATATTTTTTACCCATACAAAATTCAATCACTTGTAATCCGCATCATCATTGGTGGTTATATGATCAAAATTATTATTCATCAACAATAATGGGTGGAGAAGATGATACATTAACACCGGCTACAGCGACAACAGCAACGGTTACACCAACCAATGATCCTGATGATGAAAAAACATTGAATATAAAAGATGAAATTGGTGATAGCAATGTATCACAAGCTATCATGAATGGGAAACAAATTGCTGGTGATGATGATGATGATGATAAATCGCATTGTGGCGATGATGGTTGCAATGCTGATGTGGATAAATCTGATTTAAAATTCAAATCAAAAGAATCATCATTTGAAGACGCCACCAAAGTTGAAATTGAATCACAAAAACAAAAATCATCTGAATCTATGAATAATATTCCTTCAAAATTACAATTTGAATCCAAATCATTATCACCAATGACAGCTGATAAACCACCATTACAACGTAGTCTTTCAGAACCAGTTGCTGAACAATCTACAACCGATACCATTAATGGTCATATGTTACAAAAATCACCAAGTAGACCATTGTTTACATCATCATCATTTTATGATCCTGAACAGCATCCAACATTGGAAGAACAGGTCAGTTTAATTTGATTTTTTTTCACGATTTTTTTTTGATGTGAAAATTTTTTCAAAACAAACGAATGATGTGTGATGATGATCATCAAGAGAAACAAGAAAATTTCGATCAAATCATTCTACCGGAACGTAATCGAGTCGACTCGGTTATTGTTCGATTTTTCTTTTATTTTGATTAGAAAAATCATTGAAAGTTTGATTGTTTCGAATTGGTTTGCATAACCATTTCTTTCTAGATTCGATTGTCTTTTTTTATATATTCCTTCACCATCATTATTGATAGACAAAGGAATAGGAAAGAACGAAAAAAACTTTCGATTTTTTTCAATACACACACACACACACACACACACATAATGCACACATTTAGAGTATTGGATGATGGCCAATCTGTGTATCTTTTCAAATTATTCTTGTGTGTGTGAATAAGAAACACAGACATCATCATATGATTCTAGTGTGTGTGTGTGTGTTTTTTTTTGGCATTTGTGGTTGTGTCACCACCACCATCAACAACAACTGTCTGTCTGGGTTGTCGAATTTTTTATGAATTCAACTCTTTACATCTCTTTTGATTCCAAAACATCATGAAGTGATGTGTTATTCTACAAGAATCATTCTTGATGTTTTTTTTATAATTAAGCTGTAAATGTAGAATTTTGAATTCATGCTAATGTAAGCAAGAATCTTGAACTTTTTTCTGTTGTTGTTGTTGAAAATGGCCTTTTGTTGTTTTCTAGTTCATGTTTCACCTCTCCACAAATTTTTCAATGTTGGTGCATTTGATCTAGATCAAGATTTTCTTTTTTTTAAATGCCGATGATAATAACAATTAATTCAATTCTTAAAGACTTTTTTAGGGCTTTGTTCAGATTTTTTTTTAATTTTTATTTTTTGGTTCATTAAATTTAAATGACAAGTTGTTGTTTTTCATTGTCATCATATATGGATCTTTGAAGATTCCATCAAATCATTTAAATTCAAAGATTTCATTTGCCTTTTGAATAACGAAAAAAAAAAAATTGATGACTGGGCGTTGGAATATTGTTGTTGTTTTTTTTTTTTTGGTTGAAAATTTTTACAACAAAAAAAATTTGGTGTGTCATTCTTTTTTCTCTGTTAGAAAATGTTTCGTTTTTTTTGTGTGTGTGTGTGTGTGTATGTGTTGAAATTCAATTTGAATTGAATTTTTCTTTCATTCTTTTGTATTCAGTTTGTTTTTTTCAATTTTTCAATTTTTTTTTCGTTGTTGTTGTTGTTGTTACATTATTGAATTGACAATTATTAAATTCACACACACACTGGCTGTGTATATGTCAATGTCATCTTGTTTTTTTTTCGTTGTAATTTTGGGTGATGATAGAAATTCAATTTGTTTTCATTGTTTTGCTCTGTTTTGTTCATTCTTCATTTTTTTTTCTATTCGTTCACCTGTTCCACAACCAATATACACAAAAAAAAAATATTCATCAACCAACCAAGCAAATAAATGACAATCAAGTTGTATTCTTATTTTCATTTTTTTTTTTGCTTTGTTATTCGATTAGAAATGATTGGGAGAAAAAAAAACCACAGCATTTAATTGTTGTGGTTCTGTAACAGATGATCAAATGTTTTGACGAGAAAAAAAAATTTCAAAATTTCGTCATCATCAGAAAAAAAAATTAGAATAGGAAGTATATGTGTGTGTGTGTGTATGTATGTCTGTTGTTGGTTGATGACAATTTTTTTTTATAATAACCGGAAATAAAAAAAAACCAACTCTACTCTGAAAAATAATTTGTGTGTGGACATAACCCATCATCATCATCATGATTATTCAAGATCATGTGTATGTCAAATGATGAAAATCCTAAAATTCATATCTATAGATAAAAGTATGGATGATGTCTGAATATATTGAGCTTCAATATTGTGTATTACATCCCATTTTTTTTAATAGATAAAATTTGGATGATATGGTTGGTTGATTGTGTACAGGTACACAGCCAGGTTGACAGAATTTTTTCACATTTGCCCATATACTCTTATCCATTAGCCATATAATAATCAACCTTATAGCAGCAGGTTGATGTCACCATGATGATGATGATGATAATCAGGTTCACTGCCTTGTCCAAAATGGATGGATATGGTTCGATGGATCCGAATCGTATTATAAATGAAATAAATTTTTTTTTTACTGGTTTGAAAGAATAGTCCATGATGATGATGATGATCTCGTTTGTTTGATGCTCCCATCACACACCAGTATACCATGTTGATGATGATCATCCACTATATGATGATAATGATAATAATGATTGGCGTCATGCATTGATGGCCATTGTGACAATTGAAGCGCGATTCCTTCTTCTACTTTTTTTTTCTTTTGCTATGTTTTGATTTTTTGTTTTGTTTTTCCGAATTCGTAATTCCACACATTGCCTGGTTTTTCTGGTTCGTTTTTTTTTCTTTCGCCGTCGGTAGTTCTCATTCTATGATGATGATGGTGATCATCATCATTTCGGATGTTGTGTAATTTTTTTTTTATTTTATTTTATTTTGAATTGTTATTCTTTTTTTTGGAATTTTTTTTAAATTCAACCTGATCTTGTTGTTCGGCTTTGCTTTTATTATCGTCATCATCATCATCATCGTTCATTACATTCACACACACAAAAAACACACACATATTGTATTTTTCAAGGTAGATTTTTGCTGTTGTTGTCCAAATTTCTTCTATTGTCTCCATTTCACAATTTCATTCGATTCGATTCCCATTACACATTCATATTGACTTTTTTTTTACTAGTCTGGTTTTTGTTTTGTTTTGTTTTGTTTAGGGTATATTTGTGATGTTATATAATAACAATACATTTGTAAATAATGTGGTGATGTTGATGGTGGTGGAACAATATGGATTCAATTCGATTTGTTGTTATTATTGTATAATAACAATACAATTGATGATGTGGGTGGAAAAAGGAGGGGCGAAAAAAAAAATTTTTGAACATTTTTTTTTTGAATGAATGAATGAAACAGGTGACCACAATAATGATAATATGATGTATTTCGTTTGTTTGTTTGTTGTTGTTATCGTTGAAAAGGTTCACAAGTTCAGGTTCAATTGCTTTTTTGATGAATAATTTGTTTTTTTTTTTGTTATTTTTTTGATTAATTTTGAAATAATTTTCAATTTATTTTATATAGGTAAAATTATGTCGTGAAATTGCCAAACAATTAGTATCGGATAAATGTGATAATAGTAAAAATAAAGGTAAGAATTTCGGGATTCTTTCATCGCTAACGAATTTTTTTTTGGTGAAAATCAAACGGTTTGTGAATTTGTCATCACAACGGCCGCATCATCAGTGGTTGATTATCACTGATTAATGGTGGTTGTGGTGGGTGTACCTGTTTTGGCCGTTTATTTTTGTTTTTTTTTATTTGCGAAAATGTACAAATTTCAGTTAATTTTTATTAGTAAACAAAAAAAAATTCGCGTGTCATCACACCTGCCTGCTTACTGGATCCCATTGCCTTAACTTAATCTTTTTGTGTGTTGAGATTTGCTGTTGCTGATGATGATGATGACGCACCTTTTTTTCAGTTTCGGTTTTTTTTTCATTTCACAACGGCTTTTTTTAAATTCATTCCAAATTTTACTTTCAAAAACTGTCGATCGGTTTTTTTTCACTTCATTGATGGCACGTGCCATCACACACACTAACGCACATGAACGTGAAAGAAAAAAAAGAAAGCGAATCGACGAAGCATTCAACCGTACGTGCCATCACACATGTATGACCCTCGAGCCATTTTTTTTGAGGGGGTTTTCTGGATAAGCCGAATGACTGAATCATCATCATCATCATCAGATCAACAGCTCTCTCTCTCTCTCTCACTTTTTTCAGGATTACTCTTGCGTTTAGCATCTGTTGTTGTCATCAATCGATTTTTTCGTTTGATGATTATAATGACCTTTGTTGCTAGTGTTGGATAAAGGTCGTTATCATTATTATGTAACGGTCAACAATGGTGATTTTTTTTATTTTTGTTAATTTTATGACCAAAATTTTACATAACAAAAAAAAACACGCTTTTTGTTTCTTAATAACCGCAACAAATGATGATGATGATGATGATGAGATAAGATTCTTTTTTTTTGATGCGTTTCTTTTTTTTCTATTTTGAATTTTTTTTTTATGTTTTCAAAGGTCGAAAAATGTTTGAAAAACGTGTAGAAAAATCAACACAATGGATAACAGAGAATGAAGATTCATTTCAAAATTATCAACCAAATGAAGATCATGATTATCATGAACGGACAATAACTGATGGTTTGATTTTGACTAAAAAAAAAAGTTTTTGAAATTTTAAAAATTCAAATTAATTTCAGGTCCACCAAATCTACGTCTTCTATTGGATCCAAGACATGTGGATGTAAGTTTTTTTTCTAATCACTGAAAATTGTCAGGAAATGAATATGAAAATCATTCAATCAACCAATCAGTCAATCAATCAACATTGAAATTTTTTTTTTTTAAATATCCAATCCATGATCTTGATTAATGATTTTTTGTTTTTTCTTTTCTTTTGTTTTTCTCTTCCTATTTCTTCAAATGGAAACAAAAAAACCCGTTTCACCTTGAATTTGGACGACTATATATAAATATAAATATTTAATTACTATGAAAATTGGCCAATGACACATATTGATATTGAATTTGAATTTAAATTCTGATGATAATCAATTTTTTTTTGCTGATCACAACAACAACAACAATCCTTGATATTTACTTTGGCAAACAACAAACAAACAAACTGAATTATTGATGACAAATAATAAAAAAGGACATCAACACCGTACAAGGCGTAAACGAGCACATAATCATTACACAGGAAGCAAAAACACGTGACACGTGTAAAAATATTGTCAATGATTTGACATCGCCTGAAGGTAATGTAATGAAAATTTTTTTTTCATTTTTTATATTTTCAATCGGATTTTTTCATTATTTTCTATACCGAATGAAAAAAAAATGTTTTAAATGTTAATCATTAAAACAACAACAACAACAACAACAACAACTGATATTAACTTTCTTCAATGATAAAAATCTGGCCATCAATCTTTTTTCCATTTTTGTTTTTTGTTGGCCAAATTATCCTCCTCTTGACCATCATCATCATCATCATCATCATTGAATGATAATTTGCATTAACTATGATTTCCGGTTATATCCACTTATACACACACACACACTCTATCCGATAATCGTATATAGCTGTATGGTGTTGTTGAATATAATTTTTTTTATGATTATTTCCGGCGTAAAAAAAAGATAATAATCTTTTAGGTTTTGTGTGTTTGTTTGTGTAGGGTGTTTTGTCATTTTCTTTATCATCATCATCATGATGATTATTATTATTACGACAATTTTCATTCACAGGATGAAATGAATGAATGATGATGATGGTGACAATTAATTAACTTTTTCTTTATTCTTTTTTTTGTTGTATTTTTGAACGCGTGTTTTTTTCTGTGTTTGAAAGTGTGTGTGTGAAACCCTCCTCCTTCTTTTTCTTCTTTTTCCTTTTGATTAGATTAAGACTAGATAATGCATGCGTCTTATATATTGGAAAACAAAACTTTTTTTTTCCTCCAGATGATGACAATTCATTCACCTGATGATTTTTTTTTTGTTCAACTTTTGATTGAAACATTCGTAACGGAAATGAATGATATGAATATACCAATATACCGGCCGGTCAAATAAGTAGACTACATGTAGAATTACATGTCTTGATGATACTTTTTTTTTGTCTGACTAGGTGGTCAGGTGATAACCTTGTTGCCAAATTTTTTTTTTGTTCTTTTCGTTGTTCGATATACATAATATTGGCATATCACAATATGTGTGTGTATGACCTGGTGTCATCAAAATCAAATCAAAACAAAACAATGACAATAACAATAACAACAGAAGCGGTCAAAAAAAAGCGACAATCAAAAGTCGAGTCTTTTTTTTTTTTGGCCATTTCGTTTGACGTTTGTTGTTGTTGTTGTTGTTCAACCTATGTAATTTTGATCATTTTTTTCTGTGATTGAAACTTAACAACTTCCTTTCGGATGGCCAAAGTGAGAGAGAGAGAGAGAGAGAACATCTCATCACACACACACTGTAACTACTTGTTATCTTTTTTTTGGCCAAAATATCTATCTATCTACTCTTCATGTTTATGTCGCCATTTTTTTTACTATTTGTTTCACTGACCTAAAGATTCAATGAAACAGAAAAAAAAATTTGAAAAACTCTTTTTCTCATCATTGACAAAAATCTATTATCGATTTTTTTTTTGCACAGATTCTCACACCGATACAATCGATGATGAGATTTTTTTTTCATTTCTGAAAATTTCAATTATCGAAAATCTTCACACACACACACACACACATACACAACAACAGGGTGTTAACTTGTTGATGATGATTACAGGCAGATTTTTTTTTTTATATATATTGAAAATCTATAATCATTTTTTTCTTTTGATTATCGATTGAATGAATGAATGAATCGTAGAGACACGTGAAAGAAAAAAAAATCGAATATAAATTACGACCTTGGCAATTATATTTGTGTGTTACCTGACCTTTTTCTTTCTTTCTCTTACTTTCTATGGTCTCATTTCTTTTTTTCATCATCATTGTTGTGTTCTAGGATGATGATGATGATGATGATGATGATATTACATCAATATGATTATTATTATTATTTACTACAAAAAAAATAAGGCCAAAGGTCATTTCGATGGATTGATGGTTGTTGTAGAAAAGAAAGATTTACAACAACAACAACAAAAATGATACAACATTTCATTCATAAGGTTGAAACAAACACTAGTAGCACTGTATATGTCCCATAATTTCCATTTGTGATGTTTGAGTGTGTTTTTTCATTCATTCATCTATTTTCATTTTCGTTCTATTTTTTTTTTTTTTTTTTTTGGATTTGATTTTTTTTTTTTTTTTTTGGTTACCTGTGGCCTGTATGTTTATTATTATTATGACACTTCCTTTTGTTTCTCTTCTCTTGGTTATCATACCGTTGATATCTTTGTTTGTTGTATTGTCTGTCTGTATCTATCTATCCAACTATCTATCTAGTCCTTGGTACCAAAAAAAAAAATAAATAAACTGTGGTTAGTCTATGTCTAGTGTCTATCAACCTTTGACCTTTTTTTTCGGCTTTTGCCCCTCTTCTTTTTTTATCATCTGTTGTTGTTGTTTTTTTTTTTTTTGAATAATTATCAATTGTCGAATACAAGACACATACAGGTTGACAATAATATACCTCATATGGCGACAATAACAACAACAACAAAAATATCCGGTTTTCTGTCACTATGTCATTTTGTGTTTATATGTGTGTGTGTGTGTAGGTGACAATGATGAACTACTGGTGAAAAAAAAAATTGTCAAAGACAAAGAAAATGGACATCAATGTTTTTTTCCTGTTCTTTACTATTTGTTGATGTTCATTTCCTCTTTTTTAAAACGAACATCATCATCATCATTTTTTTTGGTCTTTTGATTGAGGCCCCTGCTGTTGCTGTGGCCCGTGTTAGTTACTTTGTTCATTTTTAGCCTATTGAATGATGGGCTAATAATTGAGTTGTTGTCTTTTATCAAAAGTTTTTTCTTAACATTTTTTTGACTTTTTGAAAATTTGATTTTTTTTTCTCATTTGTACATGTTTCCGATTTATCCATCCGTTTTGTTGTTGTTGTTGTTGTTTTGATTTCCGTTATTATCATGAATTTTTTTTCTTTTCTTTCACTGTCCAGAACTCTTTATTTTAATCACACAAATGTATTTAAAGGGTCATTTAATTTTTTTGGGAATGAACCTGTGTGTGTGTGTGTGTGTGTGTGTGAGGCCATTTCCGTTGTGAAGATGAGTGTTGAGAAAGTCAAAGTTTATTTCTATCTTGATGTATTAGATGGTTTAGTGAACAACAAATAAATCCACACACAAGGCCAAATTGTTGTTGTTGTTGTTGCTGCTGCTGCTGTCGCCACTTTATCCTTGATGATTATCACCATTATCATCATCATCATCATTAAATTGAATTTTTTTTGGTGAGAAATGATTATTATTTTCTTTGCTATTTTTTTTTTTTTTCATTTTAATTATCAATTCTTGTTCATCAACACAAAAACAAACGTTATTAGAAGGAAAAGTTGTCATTTGACAATTGACGTAAATAATAACCCGTTCATTTTTTTATTATTATTATTCTGGTTGATATTTATAGAATAAATCTTGACAAGAAATGAAAAAAAAATCGACATGACATCGATGATGACCTTGTTGAATTGTCCAATCAACCACCATTGTGTAAAAACACAGACGAAATTCTTGTCATTTTTCTTAATACACAAATACATAAATCAAATGACGAATGACAGAATATTCTGCGATTTATAAATAAAAAAAAATCAGAATATTTGAGGAAAAATGCGTCGTCATACATAACGACAATAATTTTTTTTTTTTACCAGTCATTAAAGTGTTAACAACGAAGAAGTGAAGATTTACACGAAAAAGATTTGTTTTTCAATCTGTAAAGCAGTAGTACGGTTCATTAGATTCATTCGTTTCGTTTCGTTTCATTTGAATTGTTTTCACGGTTATTCACTGACCAAAAAAAAAAATTTTTGTTTTTCATTTTCACTTTGCTATCAGTAGCAGCAAATACAAGTGAGTTGTTGTTGTTGTTGTTGTTGTTGTCGTGTTCGTGTTGACACATTCAAATTCACTTTCAATAAAAACACCTAGAAAAAATCGATAGTTTTATTTTTTATTTTATTTTCTTTTTGTTTTGTTTTGTTTTTGTTTATTTTGTCTTTTTCCAATTCAGTGAATCCAACACGTGGTAAAGCATTGTTTACAAAACGTCAACAAAAATCTGAACAATGGATTGTCGACAATAATAATGTTACCGATGCTGTAATTGATGCTGCACGTGATAAATTATTTCGTAATGTTAAACAACAATCATTGTATGGCTTTGGTGGTGGTATTCAACAACCACAACAACAACAACAACGATCATCACCACAACAATATTGGACATCAACATGGCAACAACAACAACAACAATGGTCAACACAATCATCACCGATACGACGATGCAGCAAGCATCAACATTCATGTTATTCACGATTACAAATACCTGGTCCGGTATTTTCACCATTAACACTTTCACCAATATCATCACGTCCATCAAGTTCAATGTCATTACGATTTCGTGATTTTAATGCACGTGCTAAACCATTTTGTCGTGCATATTGATAATCATAATCTAACCTGATCAATTTTTATTGTATATGTGGATGGCACATTTTATCGTTTTTTTTCACTTACTGACTTAATGAATTTGAATGACCCATTTAACAACAACCACCACCACCACCACCACCCTTTCTTCATTATCATTGTGTTTGAGATTGAATCATTTTTCAGTTTGTTTTGTTTTATTTTGAAAAAAAATTAAAAAAAAAAAAATACAAACAACAAACATCTCATTTGATCATTAATTCATTTTTATCGATTTCAATTTTAAATTTCGGTTAATTTAGGCAAAAAATGTTCGTTATCATCCATCATCATCATCAACAACAACAGTAACAGTAACAGTAATCGACCTTTCACATCTGTTGTTGCCAAAAAAAAATTCAAACGATGATGATGATGATGATGATGATAATAATGATGGAACCAAAATAATATGTGAACCCTCTGCACGCGAGGTCATCATCTCCATTTTTGGTTGATCGGTCGGTTTGTTTGGTTCCAGAAAAACAAAACAAAAAAAACGTTACCATATAACAATTTCAAAATGGCAAATTGAATGTCCCAATGAAAAACTAGGGTCCATCATCGTCGTCGTCGTTGTGGATTTCATTGCCAGGTAATTACTATCTATCCTACATACGTAGTACGAATTGATCACAGGTGGAAAGCGTAAACGAATCTTGCAACGGACTTTTTCCCTCACTCTCTTGCTTGACTGTTGTTCGTTGTGGTAATACAACAGTTGAACTTGTGAAAAAAAAACTTACAAAAAGTAATTTTGTGTGTGTTATTCCGTTTAATTATCGTTGCCCATTTCGTTCCAAAATGATGAAACATGACACAGACACACGTAAAAACTTTATTGATAGGGTTTATTGACACCAATGGCCGATTCAAAAAAGCAGCACAGCCACATCCACCCACGAAAATCGGCTATTTTAACAATTTACGAAAAATAATCATTCATTTCCGAAAAAAAAACTAACAATGATAATTATAGCCACTACTACTATCTAGTCATGTTTATATCATAAATCCCACTTCTACTACTATTTATTATTATTATTATTATCAATGAGCAAAAAATGGTAATGATCAATCATCTGTTATCAAAGCCGATTCTTATGTTTTTATCATCACCACAAACATTGGAGTCAGGTAAGTAATGAAAAAAAAACAGAAACAAGGACAGCCCATTTGCTAGCCAAATCATAATATACCTGCCTATATGAGGGCGTTAAAAAAAACTTCCAACACACACACACATCTGTTGCACACATCCAACAACCTAATGGTAATAATGGCCAGGTAAAATTCATCGTCATCATCAGAAGAAGAATGAAATTCAAAAAAAAAGAGAATCAAACCAAAACAACAACTTAACCAGACTAGATATATGTATATGATGGAAGACCATCATCAACAGACAGTAGCGAAGCAACTAGTGTTTGTTTGTTTATTTGTGTGACACTTGTGTTTGATTTTATTTTTTGTATATATACCTGTAAACCAGTATTTCTCTTCATCTTGTTTTTTAAATAAATTCAGTTGATATTTCTCTTTATTGATGCTGATAGTGAGCAAGAGAGAAATAGAGAAGGTGGAGTGATAGAAATAGTTGACAATGGTAGTTCATGGTATAGTTTGATGACAATTGTTGAAGATTTTTTTGTTGTTGTTGTTGGTTAGTCGATGAAAGAGACATTTAAATATTTTTTTTTCATCATTCACTCATTTTGGTTTGATTCAATCAGTCGAATCAACCATTCGGATCGTTAACAAGTAACGACTACAATCATCAATATATATATATGTCGTCATCGTTTGATCAAAAAAAAAAAAAAAAAATTGGTGAGCAATAATTCAACCAACCAACCAACCAACCAGCCAATTGAACCGAACCGAAAATCGATTAACGTGATGAAAATAAAAATTTTTTTTCAATCAACCTAAACGAATTCAATAAATGTGACTCTTTTTTTTTTTGGTTTCGATTTAATGATCATCAATTGTTTTCTTCAACATCGATACCTGATCTCTTTTTTTTGTTGTTGTTGTTGTTGTTGTTGTTGTTAACCTCGAAATTGACAATCGATTAATGAATTTTTTTTTCTCTCTCTTCAATGTCAAATGATCACGTGTGAATGTGTGTGTGTGTGTGCGTGTGTGTGTGTGTGTTTATTTGGTTTTATATCCAAAAAATGTTTTTGTGTGTGTTGATTTTATTTTATAAAATTAAATACTAAAAAAAAATTTAAAATGAACGATACATTAATACAACCGGAATATATTACATATCCGGTAACGGGTACACATCAATCATCATCATCATCATCGACAACATCACCATCAACTACATCATCATCATCATCTACATCAGCTGCAGCGGCGGCGGCGGCAGCAGCAGCAGCAGCCGCTGCTGCTGCTGCTGCCGCAATGATTGGTGGTTATACAGCACCAACAACAACATTTACGAATGGTAATAATACCACTGCTACAGGTGTTCAATATCATCATCATCATCATCATCATCAACAACATTTACAACATCATCATCAACAACAATTTTCGAATCAAACACAATTACATCATTCTCATCCTCATCATCATCAAAATAATCATCATATAAATCATTTTGGTCATAATAATCATCATTTAAATCATAATGGTCATCATACAATAAATTTAGATCAATCTGATTTATTACATCATCATCATAATCATATACAACAACATCCACAACATTTACAACAACAACAACAACAACAGTCACATCATTTTGCACAACAACAACAAATTTCACACATTCAGCAACAACAACAACAACAACAGCCACAAATTCAATATCATGGAACAATAATGCATCATCATCATCCTGATTTATTACAACAAGCAACAAATGGTTTATTAGCCAATGAAGCACCGGATGGTCCATCATTATTAATGACCAATAATAATGGTGGTAGTGGTGGTTTATTAACACTGACTTTAAATAATGGTAGTGGTAGCAATACATCTATGTTTTCTCATCATTTACCAATATCCATTTCGGCTTCATCACCATCATCATCATCATCACCATCGACAACAACACCAACAACAACGACAACAGCAACAGCAACATTAACCGGTGCAATACCTACAAATTCTGTTCAACAACAACAGCAATATACAACACTTGGTTCACCATTGACAACAATTTTGATTACAACAGCAACAACAACAAATGATGATAATAATCAATCAACAAATAATGAATTAATGATTGGATCATCACCATCTTCGGCATCAACGACAACTACAACACCGTCGAAAACAACAACAACTGTAGCAGCAACAACAACACCATCTACACCATCACCAGTATCTAGTAAGAAGAAACGTAAGTTAGGGCCATTAGTGTTAGGGTTAGGTTAGAATTAGGTTAGGATGTTTTTTCCCAATCATTGGTCATCAATTTGATTGGTGATCAGGAAAAAAAAACAAAATTAATTCACACAATTTACCTAGATATTACTAACCTAGTATTAGTTAATGATTTTAAACTTGACACATATATCACATACAGTGTGTGTGTGTGTTTGCTTTTTCTTTCGTTTGAATGTTCATGAAAAATGATGTTGATGATGATGATGATAATGATTTCGTGCCAAAGATACGGACCATATGATTCTCTTGTTTTTTCACTTGAAAGATTCAGGTGAATCTTTTTTTTTTTGTTTGTTTGTTTCTCACTTTTTTTCCTGGTTTCTGGTTAACTTGTCCGCGAGAATGATGATGGTTACACCGCCACGGAACCATTAAACATGGAAAAAAAAGTTAACCAGCCAAATCGGTAAAAAGCAACCAAGCAAATGAAACGCAACCAACCAACCAACCAACCAACCAGCCAACCAACTGCGATGCATGACGGTTACGGACGGTTTATCCATCAACGACAAAAGATAAACAGAACAAAACAAACGAATTTTGGTTTCTATAGAAAAAAAAACACATACTTTGAATACAAAGTGAAAATCCTTAACACCCAAAAACAAGTGAACAAGAATAAGAAAGTAGTCAATATAAACAAAATAACTAACTAAACAACTAGACAATGGTCATCTATGGCCACTGATACTGATGATGATGATGATCCAGTTGTTGTGTGTGTGTGTTTATGCTATAGAATCCATGGTTGCGGAACGTTAGTCACCAAACAAAATAAAACAAAAAAATTTTCAAAGAATTTTTGCGTCCATCCATCCATTCATCCAAATCTCAACCAAGAAACAACAACAAAAAACTATTTAAACCAATGGATAGGTCAGTCAATTCAGTAGTAGTAGTAGTAGCCGTTGCTAGATTGAGACATTTATCGATTTTACTGATGATGATGATGATGATAGAATGCCAGTTTCAGGCAGGAAGGAAGGAAGGAAGTAACAAAACAAAACAAAACAAAATAAAACAAGCAAGCAAATAGAAAGAGAGAGACAGAAAAATTTGTATTTTGGACCTTTGGATGATGATTATAGATGATCATCATGATCATCATCGTGAGCAATAAAAGAATAAAAATTTAGTTTGAATCAAAAAAAAAAAACGACCGGAATTTCCGGCACAATAGTGAAATGAAATGAAATGAATGATTTTATTATTATGATTCTTGAATTTGAGAAAATTTCTTGTGGAAAAAAAATTTCTGTAAAATTTTCCTAATCAAAAAAAAAAAAAAAAATTTGTCAACAGTGTGTGTGTGTGTGTGTGTCATATGAAAAATTCAGAATAAAAAAAAAATGTGAAAATGAAATGATTCGTAACGAATCCATTTGACAGCATCATCATCATCATTACATCAATTTCTCCCTAGATTACATCATCTGGGACCTTATGATGAGATCATCATCATCGTCGTCGTCGTAGTCGTCGTCATTGTGAATTAGTCAGCAACATCAATGTTGGTGGTACGTTTTCAAAAAAAAAAAAATTTTCGTCTGAATTGTCGCGTGTCCTGTTTTTTTTTTTTAGTGAAAACTTGTGTACCACACACATGTACACACACAATAATCAGACGCGTGTCTCATATCATTTCATTTTACATTTGACTTTTCTTAGGGTTTTCAACTTTGACTTTTTTCTCTCTCTCTCTTTCTCTCTATGTATGACCCATGTTTGATCCAAAAAAAAAAAAAATTTCATCGTTGTTCACTTTGATTCGAAACCGAACAACGAAAAAAAAATTGAGAGAATCGATTTCTTTGTTTTTTTGTTTCGATGTTTTCCATTAATGATTCTCAGTGTGTGTGTGTGTGTGCACGCTGTTTGAGTGAGTGTTATAAGTAAGCCAATTTCCGTTTTCTATATTCTGGCCGACAATTGGCGGCAAACAAAATTCAATGATGATGATGATGATGATGATTAACTGAATCAGAATCCAGCTGAGATAAAGTCATTATCATTGTTGAATGCTAATTTTCAAAATGAAAAAAAAAAATTTTGATTCGCATACGCGTGTTTATAACAACATCGGAAATGGTCGTTTTTTTTGGATGTTTTCGATTGTTGATACACTAGAATTCAATTTTCTAGGATAACCCATTTTTTCCATTAGCTCAGTAAATTAAAAATTTTTTGTTTCATAAAGTGGTGGTGGTTATTTTTTTGATAAAAAAGGCGTGAGAAAATTTTCTGGGAAAATTTATTTTTTTACAGAAAATTTCCCAAACAAAAAAATCGATATATTCAATTAATTTTCGTTGTAGAAAAATGAAACTATAGGGTTATCGATTGATTGATTGATGTGGTGAGGAAAAATTTTTTGTTGTTCAATTTCAGCTCAATGAATTTCTCTTAACACAATCAATGCTGATGTTGATGACTTTTTGATGATGACGACGACTACGTTGTGCGTTGACAACCTAACGACGATAATCATAATTGATTATCGTTGAAATTGTTTTTTTATTTTTAGGAATTTTCAATTATGAATCCCAAATTTTCCCTATTTTGGAAAACGAAACTCTTTATTCACTTGGAACGCAGAAGAAGAAGAAGAGGAAAAAATACTCCAGTTCCCAAATGAAATTGAAAATAAAAAGTTTGATCATCACGTTCAATTCCCTCAAAAGGGAATTTGAAAAAAAAAATTTTCGATTCAAGCAAGAGAAAAAAACTTTTCAATTTTTCAATTCTTGTTGTTGTTGTTGGTTCGTTCGTTTGCTCGTTCCATTATTATTTCATTTCAATGGAAATGAAATTTTTTTGAATTTTTTTTTTTGTTTTTCTTTTTGAATTCATACATCTATTATGATTTTCAACAAACCAAAAAAAAACGATCCAAATGGACCACCCACAAATCTATCCATTGATGACCGCCATGATGGACCACCATCATACTGATAATTATCATTTGATTTTCAATTGACACCTTGTTTGTTTGTTTGTTTTGTGTGTGTGTGTATTGACTGCGGCCGAATTCAAAAAAAAATTTTAAAAATTAACTGGCGGCAAAATACTAACGAACTGTTGACAAATTATCATACACCTTCTCGTTTCTCTCTGTGTGTGTGTGTGTGTGTGTGTTGTATGGGTCAAAATTTTTTTTTTCACTAGTCCCCATTGCCATTACCATGATCAGTACGTAATTTATGGTGTTGTTCCACGTGAACAGAAAATACGCAACTGTATTATTATCTTTATTTTGGACCATATAAGAAAGTCCATTATTACAATCATCATCATCGTTATTATTAACAGTCAGTCAGAACTTTACCTAGACCGACAACAACAACAACAACAACAACAAAATTGTTTGTCTGGTTTCAATCTGTCTATCTGTCTGTTGTTTGTGTGTGTGTGTGTGTGTATCATTTTGATGTTTGTCCAGCGAAATCAAATAAAACCTGGCAAAACAACTAAATATTCCTGGTTTCTGGTGTACATCAAAAATACTAAACAAGAATATAATAAACATCTCATCATCTGTGATCATTTGTGATCGACCTAGAAGAACCAGAACCGAACAAAAAACTAAAAAGAAGAAGAAAAAGAAACTATCATCATCATCATCATCATAATAATCATCATTAACTTGATTACACTGTTATTATTATGATTATAACAACAATTCATTGGTTAATACCTTCGGGATCGACCATCATCGTCATCGTCATCCAAAAACACAACAACAACAACAACAATGACTATGAACCAGGAATGGAATCCAAAATGGACAAAAAATATATATACAACAGGCCAGAATAACAATAATAATAATAAAATAAAATTTGGGTAAGGAGTGTTCTATTGGGAATGATGACGATGATGATGATTCCATTTACCTAATGAACAATCTTATCATCATCATCATCATTATGATTATTTTTTGTTGTTGTTGTTGTTGTTGCTGTTTTCGTTATTATATAACGGTTATTTTGAAAAATGATGATGATGATGACATTATGTCGTCATATATGAATCGTGGATTTTTTTTCTTTGGTTTGTTTAGCTTCTTTGTATACTTGAGAATTCCATGTTATGACATCCATTTTCTAAATTCTAGCCTAGAAAAGCCTGATATTACAATACACAATGTATGGTTCTTTGTGTGTGTGTCCGAATATTCACAATGACGCCTGGCCACTACTACAAAATTACATTTTTTTTTTTTTTTTTTTTTTTTTTTGGTAATCATCCATAACCATTTACTATTGGTTCGTTTTTGGATCCAATTTGGTTCGTTTTCGGGTTTTTTTTCTTCTATATTTTTTTTTTTTTGCTGGACTGAATTTTCACTGACTTTTTTGGTGACAATGTGATTTCCTTGTCTTTTTTTTTATTCATTTGACAAATTTTTTTTTTTTTTGTAAATTTCCGCATATTACCACTACTTTTATTACTATACTACTACTTCGAGAATTTCCAATTCTATGATCATGATGATGATGATGACAATTTACGAATATATCACTTTTGGGATAATGGGATGATCTCTGAATCGTTGCATCCCCCACACACACACACACACTTTGTATATACAAAGTTCACAAGTATGGTTTCCATGACACATACACACATACATAAAACACAGGATATACATCACACACACGCATGCGTTTGGTGATGTATTTTTACAACAACAACAACAACAAAAAAAATCCAACTAAGGCGTATCATTATCATGTGAATGTGTAGAATTTTTTTTCAAAATATATATAGATGAGATATGAAACCATAGTGTACACTGACAACAAACAACAGCCAAACAACAAAACATAGAATATCAAGAATCAAGAATAATAATAATAATAATAATAGTAGTAACAACGAAGAAGAAGAAGAAGAAACAGAATTGAAGCAAAAAAAAAACAGAGAGACAAGAATTATTCATTCATTCATTCATTCATTCATCCATCCAAAGAAGAGAATGATTCTGACTGATGATGATCATGGTGAAAAATCAGCCATCCAGTCAATTTTTTTTTTTTTTTTTTTTATTCATTCACATTCGATAAGAATCATTGACAAAGATGTGACAAAAAGAAGAACATCGAGAATATTCATTCATTTGAAGATTCATTTTCAACATTGAATTTTGTATTAATACGATTTTCATTATTCTCAATGTTTGTTGCCGGTATTGTCCATTCTTCCGCATCTTGAATTCGTCGGTGTGTGTGTGTGTGTGTGTCAGTGATGTCAAACACTGTGTGTGTGTGTGTGTGAATGATGTGTGTTTCAGATTTTTATTTCACTACCAAAAAAAAATAGTGAAAGGGGCAAAATGTTACAATTCGTTTCACACGATTGACCACCACCACCTCCACCAACCAAACATCAGTCAACCAAAACACATATACACACACACACCCGTTACAGGACAACAAACCTAGATGAAAAAAAACCAGGGAACTGTATCTTTTATTCTGTTGTTCTTTGTTCACTTTCAACCAAACAACAATTCGCTCGACCGATCATCCAAACGAAAAAAAAACGCCAAATTCTAACAAGAAACCCATAAGAAAAAAAAAATGAAGATGAAGAAGATGACGACAATGAAAAATTCGGACAATTCATGATGATGATGATGACGACGATTTAACACTATTCATCCATTCATTCAACAACAACAAATCCGACCAACCATTCATCCGTTCATCCAGATCCGATTCGATCCAACGATCACTATGATGATGATGATGATGATGATTGAATCCAATTTAAGAACCACTGAACAATATTTGATCATTCAACCCTAAAGGCTTGATAATCTTTGATCAAAAAAAAAAAACAAAAAGGAAAAAAGAAGACACCCACACAAATCACAAAGACTGATTGACCGTTGACTACTTAACCAACAACAGAAAAAAAATGAAAGCGTCAAACGAAAAACAACAAAACCCTGAAAGAATTTGCGTCTTGTTTTTTATTGTTGAATGAATGAATCGCATCGGTTTTTTTGCTCCTAAATGATCATCATCATCATATGGATGATGTCAGCGAACCATTCATCCAGACATGTGAATCGATGTGAATCGTTGTGCATCCAATCCAATCTAATCGTGGTTCTATCCACTTTCACTTTTTCTCAATCTCATTGTGTGTGTGTGTGTGTGTGTGTGTTATCTTGACTGTTTTTCTGTGTCACCAATTTGGATGATCTTGAACCAGAATCAACGAACCAGGTCGACAAAATAGGCTAACTTTGTGTCTTTAAGATAATTCACAAAATGACACGATGAATATCTTTGGTCAATCAACCCTGAAAAAAAAATAAATACAGATTCACGTGTCCATGTGTTTGATTGTCTGTAATTTTTTTTTTTTATCTTACAAATTGCAGAATTTTACTTTTTTTTCATATTTTATGTGTGAATGAATCGATTGTGATCGATAAAAAAAACAGCCTGAAACAAAAGTGTTTATATATCATATATACACGTGATCCATCAAGGTTGAATGATTTCCACTTTTCATTGTGTGTGTGTGTGTGTGTTTGTGTTCAACAATCAATGTGGAAGAAAAATAAAACAAATAGAAACGACACGTGTGTGTGTGTGAATTGAACTTGAAAATTTGTCCACAATCATCATCATCGTCATCATTATCGTATTCTGTTTTTTTTTTTTTTTTTTTGAACACAACGAAATTCTCCAAAGTCCAAAACATCATGGATATTTCATTATATCGTTATAATGCATCCATGATGGAATATTATTCTTGTAAATTATCTGAAATTTTGTCCATTTTTATTTAACTTTGAGGTTTAGCTTAGCTTAGCTTAATTTTAGCTGAAATTAAAATTTTTTTATATTTTTTTTTGTTTTGTTTGATTGATTTTTTTTGATTTTTGATTGATTAATCGATTGATTAATTTTTTTTTTTCGCTCATCAATTCTGAAATTCTTTACTTTTTCTTTTTTTTTTTTTGTTGTCTTGAAAGGCCATGGTGGTGTCAATCAATTGGGCGGTGTATTCGTGAATGGACGTCCATTGCCGGATGTTGTCCGTAGCCGTATAGTGGAATTAGCGCATCAAGGTGTACGGCCCTGTGATATTTCCAGACAATTACGTGTATCACATGGATGTGTTAGTAAAATACTTGGAAGGTGAGTAGACAGAGAAAAAAAAACCAAAAAAAAAATCTAAATTTAAATATCGAGATTTTAGAATGTTAAAGTGAAAAAAAAGATTTGTGATACATACTACGTACATTACGAATTTTATCTCATTTATCATCATCATCGTCATTTATTTTTATTTATACACACGAAAAATAAATTGTTTGTGTTTCGCATGGAAAAACATGGCGACAAAAACATCCAAAGAAGAAAAATAAAACGCCCATCAAGTTTTTCATTGCAAAAAAAAAAATTTTAATTTGTTTTTTTTCTGATAAAAAACATAATCAGAATTCTTGGTATTTTGATTCTTAGCCAAAAGAATTCTGTGTGTCTGCGTGAATGTAAGAATGAATTTGTTTTGAATGTTGAGCTTTTTTTTCGGCGATTCTTTTTGTTTTTCTCCTTTTCTCTTGCTCGCTTGGTTATTAATATATTCTGGGGCGTTGTCAATTGAGATTGTCAAGTGAAAGTCCATTCTTTTTTTTCTTGTTTTGAACCCGAAAAAATAGCCTGTACTTTACCATTGTCATTGCCTATATTTTTTTTTTTTTTTTATTCATCCGCTCACTCGAATGTCCATCCGTGTGTGACCATATCACGGTTTAGATTTTTTTTCAGTTTTATTTCCATTTTTTTTCTCGGTCAGAACACTGAAATTTGGATTCAGGAATTTTATGAATCACTCACATATACGCAAACACAAACTGAATGGACAGAATTGGTGGAATGAAAAAAAAATGGGAAAAAGTTTGACGTTTATTACACACGTGAAATTTCGTTTCCCAAACATTTTCGAAATGGTTCACCATATAGAGAATATATAGAATTGTGAATTTAGAAGTCTGAAAATAAAGATAAAAACTAAAAGATAAAAATAAAAAAGCGAAAATAGAGATATAGAGTGAATATTGGATTGGAGATAATAATGATATAACAGAATTAAACAAATTTTCATGTTTTCAATATATGTTGTTTGTTTGTCAAAGTGGGCGTTTTTATTTTTTGATTCTATGCATAAAGATCAGATTTGTAGAATTTTAATTCCGAAATTCCATTTCGGAAATTCGGAAAATTTTGTCGCTAATTTCATTTTGATGATAAATTATTCATATATACACATTTCTAAAAAAAAGAAACATAGATTCTTTTTCTAATTTTTTTTTTGGATAATTGAATCTGGATTTTTGTTGTTGTTGTTTATATTTTATAGATACTATGAAACTGGCAGTATAAAACCAGGTGTTATTGGTGGATCAAAACCAAAAGTGGCTACACCTAAAGTGGTTGATGCAATTGCCAATTATAAGAAATCTAATCCAACAATGTTTGCCTGGGAAATACGTGATCGTCTTTTAGCCGATGGTATATGTGATGCTGATAATATACCATCAGTTTCAAGCATAAATCGTATTGTACGTAATAAAGCAGCTGAAAAGGCTAAAAATCATCATCATCATCATCATCATCATCAAAATCATCAAAATGGTAGTTCCAATCATTCATCATGTTCATCGACAACAACAACAACAATACAAACAAATAATATTAATCTAGCCAATCATAATTCACCAAATTCTGGTTCAATCTCATCATCAAATGTATCAAGTCCATCAATGATTAGTCCAAATTCAATTAAAACGGGTGATATTAGTGGTGTTGGTGGTAGTAGTAGTGGTGGTGGTGATATTATTAGTATAGGTAATGGTGGTGGTAATTGTAATAATTCATCCAATCAAACATCAGTGATTGTGCAAGCATCAGCTCAATTATCATCATCATCATCGTCGGCAACATCATCAACATCATCGACAACACCGACAGCAACATATTCTATAAATGGAATTCTTGGAATAAATTCCGTTTCAGGATCACCTGATCATCATCATCATCATCACCATCATCATCATCATCTATTTCAACAACAGCAACAACAACAACAACCACATGGACATCAACATCAACAGCCAACACGTTCATTGAAACGTACATTATTAGATCTTGATGGTAAGTATTTTTTTTTTCTATTATGGCCACTTGCTGCTTACTACTCGACACTTAATCGATCATTCGATTACAATTACAAACAATTCAATTTTGATTTTATCACCATCGTGATCATCATATTTGACCCATATCAAATGTCAATATTGTTGTTGTTGATGTTGCTATTGAAATGTCAAAATATATCAAAAACTTTGTACCTTTTTAAATTAGATTTAATTTAGAGATTTTAGAGATTTTTGTTTTGTCTGACAACAAAAAAAAAATAATAATAATGAATACTGACAACAACAACAACAACAACAACAACAACGAACGACAGCGATCAATTTGATCGAGTAATAAAACCAACAACATCGTATCGTATAGCATAGAGTCCCCTAGGATCATCATACCATCATTATTGTTGTTGTGATATTTCGGTAGCAGCTGAATTTTGTTTTGTTCAGGTTCCTGGTTGTTGTTGTTGTTGTTATTGTTTTCAAATTGAAAATTTTCAATTTGAAAAAAAAACCTGAATGTAAAAGAAAGAAGCCGCTATTATTGAAAAACATTTGATATTCTGTGATTTTCAAATCATCATCATCATCATCATAGCTGCGCAAGCTATTCTCTAAAGAATTGCATTGTGTCTAGTAGTAGTAGTAGTAATAGCAATAGTTTGTTAGTTTAACACAATGATCATCATTATTGATGACATTTTAATGGATCGGACATTTTTATTTTCTGTTTCTTTTTACCACCAAAACAAAACAAAACAAAACAAAAAAATAGAACCCGAATCAACATCAAATACACATATACACCATGTGTTTTCAAACGGATATGACCGAAATTGACTATCAGCGACAAACGACCCTATCCTGGTTGTTGGTTGTTCATTTTTTCTTATTCATTCATTCATTCATTTCATTTCATTCATATGGGTAGTTTAAATGAGAAACATTGTTGTTGTTGTTGTCGCTGCTGCTGCTGCTGTTTTGACTTGACATTCAAATTGAACATTAAAAAAAAAAAAAAAAAAAATAGAAAAGAAATCAAGAAAACAAACGGACACGTGTGTCTGTCTGTGTGTGTGTGTGTGTGTGTATGTCAAACGAACGGAATGATTGAATGAATTGTTCTCTCTCTCTCTCTTGGTCCCAAGAGTCAATTTAGTCATCATCATCATCATCATTGTAGTAATAAGTCGTATTGAATTTGAATTGAATTGAATGTGACCTTTGTGTGTGTGTGTGTGTATCTGTGTGTTTGTTTGCTTGATTTTTTGGTCCCATTTGGTTGTTTTGTAGTAACGATTTGTTTTCCATACACCATTGTGTGTGTGGATCTCACTTTTGGATTTTTTTTTTTTTTGTTATTCTTTTCCTACGCATTTTCTTTCCATTCATTTTTATTTTCATTTTCATTTCCATTTTATTTTTCTTATCATTACAATTGCAGACAATCAAAATGGTGTTAGTGTTGCCAATACGGCTGCCAATAATAATCAGAATCAAATGAATGGTACATCATCATCATCATCATCAGAATCACCACCACCACCACCACCGCCACTACCACCACAGTCAACATCAGCGACAACAAATGATGATTCAGGATCGATACTAATTCTTAATAATAATAATAATAACGATAATGGAGAAACATCATCATCCACTGTATCCAATGGTATTGCTGGTTTGCCAAATAATAAAATATCACGTCATTCAACATCATCAGCAGCATCATCATCGGTAGCAGATATAACAACGCCCACTTCTTCGTCATCATCATCATCATCATCTTCAACTTCATTACCTCCATTTTCTGTTACTGTTTCAGCTATTTCAGCTGGATCTCAACAACAACAACAACAACAGCAGCAGCAGCCTGTATTGTCCACATCATCAACAACGGTCAATGATATTCATAGTCAACATCATCATCAACATAATCACCAAAATCATCATCAACAACAACAACAACAGCAACAATATCAATATTGGACCGTTTTGGATGGAACGGGTAGTCATCATTCACCGGATATGATTAATGGAAATGGTGGAACAACGCCCACACATCAACAACAACAGCAGATACTCAATGATCATCAACAGCAATTATTAATTCCGGTCTCACAACATCAACAGCAACAACATTCACATCAACAACAACAACAACAACAACAACAGCAACAGCTTTCGCAACCAAATTATCATCATACAGCAACAACAACATTAGTAAATGGTCATGTTCCAATTGGAACTGGTGCAATACCACCGGTAACTGGTGGACATCATCATTATGAAACAACAACATTGTATACACCGCCAATTGGTAAGTTTAAAAATTGAAAAATTTTCACCTTCAAATTATTATTGCCACGGTTATTATGATTTTTTTACATGACGAATTCAAATTCAATGATAGAAAAACCAAACACAACCAACCACACATAATAATAATCATCACACAACAACAACATCTTCACCACCTTGTCGGTGTTTTTTTTTTTTGGCGATAGTAATTTTCATTCACACAATTTTTTTAATATTTCATTTCTCTTCCTCTCTCTCATTATTGAACTTTGACCTCTAGACCGCAACACTTATTTTTTTGTATTATTATTAGTTATGTAGTAGTGAATGAATTGAATTGATGAAATGCCGACCTTTTTTTGTTGTTGTTGTTGTTGTTGTTGATCAGTCAGAATAATGGTTATTCCAGTCTACTGCTAAGGGTCATTATCGAAGCCCATTTTTGTTGTTGTTGTTGTTGTTGTTGTTGATGCCATTACGACGACGACGACCCTAGCTAGTTTGATTTTTTTTTCATTCTGAAAATTGGACCAAAGTTTTTTTTTTGCTGAATGAGGAAAAAAAATGAATCAAAACAAAACAAGATGAGAAGTGGAGAAAAAAACCGCTTGCGGCCTTTTGTCGTCATCATCATCACCATAATCATCGTCGGTGTTGTCTATGATTATCAGCCATCATCATCATCATCATCATCATCATCATACAGCCATTTCAATATATATGACCTAGCCGCGCAAGCTATATAGCGCACATTGGGCACAATTATAATTTTGATGACGATGATGATGATGATGATGATGAAAAAATCGTAATGCCAATTCGACTGTTGTTGGTACTACGATTTCATTCACAACAATTTTATGTTTTCGTTGTTGTTGTTGTTGTTGTCATTTTTTTTCAATTTCAAAATATCCATTCCACCAATGTGGATATACAGATAAAGATAGATGGATGAATGAATGAATGAAAGAAAAAAAATTTCTCCCTCCAGGAAACGGACAATTTTCTTTCATTTCATTTCATTATTACAAATTTCATTCATTTCTCATTTTCAAAATTGTCATTCAAATTATGAGTCAGACTAAAACCGTGTGTGTGTGTGTGGATTTCAATATTTCAACCTTGTCACTCTTTATCTCTACAATTTTGGCCGGAATTTCCATTGATGGAAATTGATTTTAAAAAAACAGTCAAAATACAAGTGTGTTAGTGCATATTTTATCATTTTCAAACCGTTACAGTGCGCTTTTTCTAGTTTTTTTTTTTATTTTTAGATTTTCAATATTTTTTCTCCATTGGAATTTTTTTTTTGTTTTTTTGATTAGATTTCAACTAGCGCGGTTTTTTTTTTCGTTGTTGTTGTTGTTGTTGTTGACTGGATTGAAAAGCCAATAATTGGTCTTGGTTGTGGTTGTTGATCGGATTGAAACGAAATCAATGTAGTTTGATGGTAAAGAAAATCGGATCGGAATCGAATTTTTTTCATTGATTGATTGATTGATTGATTGGCAATGGCAATGGCCATCATCATCATCTTTATAATTGTCTATTTTGCTTTTATTTTTTTGGTCAATGATGTTGTTCGAAATGGGTAAAAAAAAAACACAAAAATGAGAAAAATTTTTCTTCGCATTGTTATTCGACTATTGAAATTGTTGAGAAAGAAAAATTTGAACTTAATTGCTTTTCGTCGATCGATCGATCTATCTATCGATTCTTTTGTCGGTATCGACAACACACACACACACACATAGAACTACTTGTGAGGTTAGTCATTATGAACTTTGACCCTTTCGATTCATTATCAATTGTGATGATGATGATGATGATGATGAACCGGTTATCTCAATTGAAAATTATTATTTTTTTTTCTTTTAGAAAAAAAAGGGTTTTTCAATTCATTTTCGAATCGTGGGAATCAAATAATCAATAATGTGTCGACGATAATTGATTGTTCATTTGTTCTTACGGGGGTTTTTTTTCTCATCATCATCATCATCATCATCATCATCACTATTTTTATTTCAGCCAAAAAAAAATTTTTAAATGAAATCAAAAGAAAAAAATAATTGAAAAATAAAACAATCGAATTGATAATTACAAAGAATCTCACGCACACTGGCACACTGGCACATCGCAGAGAACAAAATTCTTTTTTTATCTATTGTTTTTTGACGATGATGATGATGAGTTCTCATGAATTTTTTTTTGTTTTTTTTTTAAAGAAATTTTACTTTTGAATTGGAAAAAAAAGAAAGAAAAAAGGAAAAACAAAACAAAAAAATTTTTTTTCTTTGCATTTTGTAAAGGTGGTGGTGGTGGTAGCATCATTTTTTTTTTAATATTCTGTGCAGTATTGGTAGTAGTAGTAGTAGTAGTAAATAATGATGATGGCAAAAGAAATTGGAGAATGATTATCTTACATCTCATCTTATTATTATTGGATCAATCGAATTGGTTCATGGTTCATGGTCACGCCTCATTGATTTTTTTACGTCTTTCCAATTGGTCGATGCATATATATATCGTCATCGTTGTGTTTTTCTTTTTTCTTTTTTTTTTTTGCCTTGTGTTTCTTATCTCTTTTTGTTTGTATTGTCAGTAGACAACAACAAGCTCCTCCTTCATATGATTATTCGAGACGGCTGATTGGTCGATATTTGGATTGATGTACGTGTGTGTTTTTGTGTGTGTAGCAGAAAAAAAAGAAAACAAACTGTGGGCGCGTTTTATAAATAAAAAAAAAAAAAATGATTTCGGGAAATCATTTTTTTTTCTTCTCTTCATTTCATCTATGATGATTTAGTGTTGTTTTTTTGCTTTCTTTTTTTTCGTTATTTTGAATTGAAAATTTATTTTCCTGCCATTTTGAAAAACCCGAACCATAGTTGAAAGAATCAGAATCAGAATTCTAGAATTCTAGAATGAAAATAAAAATAAAATAAAATGATTCTTTTGAAAAATGAATCGTTTTGATTCTTTATTTCATCGTCGTTTAGTGTATTTTCGTGCAAATCTCTTGAGGCTTTTTTTTTGCCCGTTATAGAACGATGATGATGATGATGATGATGAGTATTTATTTTAAATTTAAAATTTGAAAAAAAAAAAAAAAAAAACAATTCAAATCCACCACCAACTGAATAGCAAAGCAAAGTAAACCAAAATTCCGTGAACAAAAACACAGGGCGCCATTTCTGGATCTCAAAATTTAACATCCACATCCTTCACACACACACACACACAAATTGCCAAGTTTTTTTGTTTTGCTAGTGCTAAATCGAAAAAAAAGTTCACTTGCCTTTCATTACATCAAGCAGAGAGAAAGATGTAGAGAGAGAGAGAACGGTATAAAAAGCTATTTTTTTTCTTCATTGAGAAGAGTTGATTTCATCCATTCTTTCTTTTTCGTTTTTTTTCCATTGCAACTTACGGAATCATTCATAATGATGATGATGATAATAAAATGAACGCATCACTGATCATCATCATCATCATCATCATTGAAATTCTACCATTTGAAAATGTATGCATGTGCTGTATGTGTGCTTTTCTTGCATCATCAAGAAGAAGTTTTTTTTGTGATAGCCAAAAACCGAGATTCATCCTATCATTCATTCGTTATGTTCGTATTGAAGAGAACCAAAATGGAATGAAAAAAAGGGTTAATAAAAAATTTTTCAGCAACAGCAGCAGCAGCAGGAAGAAAAATTGACTTTTGTTCAGAAAAAAAGAGGGTTCAGGCGTTAGATTTGATGGTTTTTTTTCACCAGTAACTGTGTCTATAATGATAATAATTAGCTTCTTCTTCTTCTACTTTCACTTGTCGTTGTTGAATTGGATTCTATCTGATTTTCAATTGGTTTTTTTTTTGGGCGTTGGTTTTGTTTTTTTTATGGATGTTTATACTGAACATCTCCACAACCACTACCATTGCTACTATTCCATCATCATCATCATCATCGTCATCATTTGTGTGAAATTGAGATTCACAGTTTGTGAACTATTGCTGCTGTTGTTGTTGTTGTTGTTGTTTTTTTATGAGCTGACATAAATTGTTGTTGGTTGAACAACAACAACAACAACAACAACCAGAAAAAAACGGGCAATTTTTTTTTTCATAAAAAAAATAGAAAATTGATTGTAAATTGATGTTTGTATTCATTCTTTTTTTCTTCATCTAAAATTGGCCATTTTTATTTTCCTCATTTTGAAAATTGTTTCTGCTGCTGCTGTTGTTGTTGTTGTTACTCCAATTATCTCAACACACACACACACTGATTAGATCGATAAAAAAAAGATTTTGTCTCTCTCTCTCTCTCTCTCTCTCTCGTTCACTATTTGAACTTGAATTGAATTCAATAGATCACGGAACTCAAGCATTTTTTTTCTTGGGTGCAGCTTTCTCTCATTTAAATTCCGATTTTTTTTTCATCTAAATTTTTAAATTGATTGAATCAATCGTTTACAATTGTCGCTTATACACACACACACAGATTGATTGATTGATGATCAATTCAATGATTTGACAAAAGTAGCGACAATCATTATGTAATCATTATTTTTTTTGTTTGTTTGTTTGTTTGTCGATTATAAGATGCTCCGCCTATCTATTTTTTCTTTCTTATCTAATGATGATGAAATCATTCTCGCCAAAAAAAAATTGACCTCATTCACAAATGAAAATGTAAAAAAAAATGAATAAACAAATCGTTCACATAATATAAATTTGGAATATATCCATGTCATAATATTCTGGTTCTGATTATGATATTTTGGATCGATTTTGGAACAAAAAGAAAGAGAGAGAGAGAGAAGAAACAAACAAACAAAACCTGTTAGAATCATTATGTTTTTTTTTATTATGGAAAAAATGACGACGAAAACAAATCAAATCAAATCAAAATACTGTGGTTTGTTTTTTTAATCATTTTCACGATTATTACCGTTGTTGCTGTAATCTCGGGTTTTTTTTCTCTCTCTCTTTTTGTCATGTTTGACTTTGGTTTTTTGTGTGTGTGTGTGTGTTTGTTTGCCATGATTATTATGATTATCGTCATCATCATCAGTATTAAGTATCGATAGTCACGCAATCAAACTATTTAAAAAATAACTTTTTAACTATATTGATTATGATGATGATGACACGCTCGCCCAAGGTAGATGATTTTATATTGATTTTTGATTGCGTGTTTAATGATTTTTTATTTTGGGTGTTGGGTGTAAGCACTAACGCTAGAGATTGTTATCCATAAATCATGTGCTATGAATTGATTTTTTTTTTTCGATTTTGTTTTGGTTCGATTTTTTTTCTAATCGATTTTTTTTTTTTGCTTTTGCTCGTTAGGTGCCACAAATACCGCAAACGGAGATTATTATGCAGCAGCAGCATATCATGGATATTATGCAACATCCAATTATGGTGCAGCAGCAGCAGCCGCTGCAGCCGCATCAGTTTCAACACCATATTCACAGATTGGTGCTGGTGCTGGTGGCGGTGTTGGTGGTGGTGGTAATGGTGTTGGTGGTATATCATCACCAAATGGTGGCAGTGTTGGTGTTGGTGTTGGCGGTGGTACGCCCACAACAAATCAAACAATTATAAGTAAGTTGATGATCATCAATTTTGTTCGATGAATTTCTGATTTAAATTCTGTTTGTTTGATTTTTATTTTCTATTCACAGATCCATATTATTATAGTGCAGTAAATGTAGCAGCCATTCAACGATCATCATCATCATCATCATCATCAGCATCTGTATCGGTGACACCTACATCACCATCAATTACAGGTGGACAACAACGTGGACAAACAACAGTGGCACTTTGAAACCAGTGAAACCAAATAAAATAAAAAAAAGGTCAAAGGATAATGACAAAAAAATTGCTTTAATTTTTTTTCCACATCAAATCATACCACTACTACTACTACTACCATATATATATGTTTCTTTTTCTTGATATGATATGATATAAATCAACCAACACGCCCATTATACCTATACCAAAATCATTGATTGATTGATTGATTGATTGATTGACAGAAAATAAATCAATTCAAATAAAAATACCGGTTTTTTTCATCATTTTCTAATTTCTTGACATTATCCATCATTGTCCATGTTAACTAATCAACAAATATATAAGCCTCATTCATACCAATACATACATTCATCATCAATATCATCGATAATCAAATAGTAGCCATATTTAAAACAAAAACCAGAAAACATTCAATCATCATCATCACCATCATCACAATCATCATCATTATGGATTCGTCAAATCAGTCAAATTTGAAAACAAAACTAAAAAAAAAACCAAAAAACAAAATTACGAATCATGTCCACACACACACACACACACCCAGATACACCCACCACATATAATCATTATTATTTTCCATTTGAAATTAACAAGTCAGAAAAAGTTTTTTTGTTTGTCCAAATTCATCCAAATGACACACACACACACACACAGGGACACACCTTCTTTGGCTTCATCATCATTGTCATTATCATATTTTTTTTGGCCATTTGTAATTGTATGATGATTAAAAACAAAACATGAATCCATTCTATTATTTTGATTGATTAATTTTTATTTAATTAAATTTGATTTGCAAACACAATCTTTTTTTTTTTTTTTTGCTTTCAAAAATGGCAACAATGACAACGCCTCAATGGGTGATCATGGCATGTTCAAGTGTTGAACAGGCGTCGACAATTTTGGTGATTATGGCGTCGTTCATTGAGCACGACCCATCAACACTCAGAACAGTCATATCACTGGTCGGATATTTTTTTTTCTGAATTTTTTTTGTGTCGTTGGTTTATAGGAAAAATATAACCTGATTAAAACGATGATGATGATGATGATGGTGGCAGTACAAGCAGCAAAGTGTGAGTAAGCAGGCAAGCAGGCAACAACAACAAAAAAATCATCATCATCATGATGATGATGATGAAAAAGCTTGCTGAACAAGTTTGATCAAGTTCATCAACAAAATAGTCAACTCTACAATAATCAACCAACACCAACAACGAACACACAGTGATATCTGTGATCGGAAACTGGATTTTTACACCACCACCACCAGCACTAACTAACCATCATCATTGTCCAGTTTTTCTCCCCCCATTTTCATCTAACCACAAATACAATCATCAATGGACATAATGAAGAGAAAATAAATCTGATTGGACAACGAAAACCATCACCTTCTTAACCTTCTTCTTCTTCTACTGCAACATCATTGAAATTTATAGTTCAACAACATCTTCTATGGTGGTGAATAAAACAAAAAAAAATTTCAATTAATCAAAATGATTGGCTCCAGACTCTATATATTGGAGTAAGGGGAAAAAAATACGATGATTTTTGTTTGTTGTTTGTTTTTCATCTGTGTTGTTGGTCGTAAATATAATTATCATCATCATCGAGAAAAAAAAATGGAAAAAAAAGATCATCAACATCGACATCGAAATCAACGGGCAACAAACGAAAACAAAAAAAAAAAAAAACAAGGCAAGACAAGGATCATTCTCATTTCTTGGGCGTCATGGTTCGTTTGATTTTGTTTTTTTTTCTATCTAGCTGTTCATTTTATATATATTTTCATTTTATCTGATGAATGATCATTCAAATTTAAATTCATCTTCATAATCATAATCATCGTTATCTGGTTAAAAGGTTATTTTCACGATAAATGAAAAAAAAATGAAAAATTCAGACGCCTAATTTTAGCTCATTTTAAGCTTGCGCAACAAGGCCTCGGTGATTCAACAACAACAACAACAACAACAACAGCAACAAAACCAAAACATCGATTGTCACTATTGACCGATTGTTTGTTTGTTTGTTTGTGTGATGTGATGTGATGTGATTTCTTTTTTTTTTGAGGACGATGAATTTTATTTTTTCTCACCAAAAAATTTTCGCATAAACTTTTATCATGTGCACACACACACACACACACACTATTTTTAGATTTTCAAACAAAAAAAAAAAAAATTTCCATCATCCATCATCATCATGCTGTTCATCACCACTGTGTTTGTTTGGTTGAAAATTGTCATTTTGCTGCTGCTGCTGCTGCTGCTACTGCAACTTTGGTTTGATAATTTTTGTTGTTGTTGTTCATTCCAATCTTTGGATTTTTCTTTTTTCCATTTTGAAGATGATTATTTTTCTCACTGTTTGTGTGTGTGTGTGTGTGTGTATGTCAACAGTTCGTTTCGGTTGGCTGAATTGGTTGAGCAAGATGATGATAATGGTGGTAGCAGTTTGGTTCATTTTATTCCTCCCCGCCCCCATTTTCTCGTATGTCTGTGTGTGTGTGTGTGTTCAGTAACACCCCCGCTAATAAACTTACCTGATGATGATGATGATGAAGATTCATTTGAAAAAACTACTGGTTTTTTTTTGTCTATTCGTTAGTTCATCAATTTTTATTTGTTTTTGGTGTCATCAGATATAAATCAACAACACACACAATTATAATAATCAGACAATTTTTTTTTCATTCATTCAATCGATCAATCAATCGATTTTTTCAAAAAAAAAACCAGAATAGCAAACAAAATGACAAAATTATGCAATAATGAAAACAACGAAAACCAAACAGGAACCAAGATTTTAATTTTCATCATCATCATCATCATCAAAACCAGAGAAAAAAGTCTGTTTGTTTTGGCTCGAATTATATTGATTTGTTTGTCTGTGTGTGAGTTTTTGTTTTGATTGAAAATATCGATTTTCATTTTTATTCTTGTCGATTCCGGATATATTCAATTTTGTACAAAAAACTGGCTTCGTTTTCTGGTTAATATCGATCATCATGGCTGGTGTAATGCAAACAAAAGACGGAAAAAACAGTCGAACAGGAACTGGAGAAAAATTGAATGTTTAAAATTCTTCAATTTCATTTTGAAGGACACATTTTCATTTTCTCTTTAAATGTTCATTTCACATGATGATGATAATAAAAAAAATCATCAAAAAAGGCAGCCATTATCATCATCATCATCATCATGATCATCATCATTTGATGATAAATTATAATAATAAGCAGTTTATGTTTCAATATCAGAACGAAAAAACACAAAGATCCTATATCTACACACAGGCGACATATGGAAAGCGGATCAACATAACAACAGCAACGATTATCAAATGAAGACTAAACTTTTATGGACATGACACACATATAATAATAATAAATTACAGTGGACAGATGATGATGATGATTATGAAATGGATGATTCTGGATTGTCGTTGTTGTTGTTGTTATTTATCTACCTGTTTTGAATCTGTAATGAGCGAGAGAGAGAGAGAGAGAGAGAGAGAGAGAGAAATTTATATGTGTTTGTGACATACGGTAATGAATTTTCATTGAGCAAGCTAATAAGCTACCTTGCTACGCATGTTATTTGTATTTGAATTTTTTTTTTTGTCACAAAATTGGATGATTTTTGTTTCTTTTTAAAATATCAATTTTCAACAATTTTATATGTCCATTCTGGCCTATGATGATGATGATGATGATGATGAATATTATCATACATTTCTTTTCCGCTTCAAAGCATTGTTGATTTTTTTTTCGCTTTTTAGTCGATCAAGACATTTATTTAGGAAATTTTTTTTTGTCTTCAGTGCAAAATGATTATTATTATCATTAAAAATGGTTGTTGTTGTTGTTGTTGTTGTTTGTTTTCGTTGTTGTTGTTGTTGTTTCGTTTTTACTTTTGGAACATAATAATTTGTGAATTTTTCTCTCGCCATTTGTTTATCTGTTTATTTATTTGTTTGTTTATTTGGTTTGGTTTTGGGTCAATTTTTTTTGTGAATGGCTGTCAACTGTTTTTTTTTTTTTTTTTTTTGACAAATTATCATCAGCATATTTGGGTTAATAACAATGACTGATTTTCGGGCAGAAAAAAAAGGTCAACGGTAAAAAAAAATTGCAATTGAAGTGCATTTTTTTCGGGTAATATAATGACATATTCGTTCACATGATAATGGTGATGGAGGTGGTGGTGGTGGTGGTGGTGGTTGTGGACAGAGCAACGCCCACCTGTTTTTTTGTTCTAGTCGATGATAGAACAACCTGTCACATGGATAATAATTGGATTTTTTTTTCTTATTTCTCTTATTTATTTGGACCATTCATATTTCTGACTTCCAGTTTTATGTTTATGTTTATGTTTTTATTGTTTGTCTATCCACCATCAATTGATTATGTTTGTTGACCTGAATCAACAACCTTGTATTTTGACTACTGACTACTTACTGTGATACAGGACAGGACAGTTTTTTTTCATTTGACAATTTTACAGGTTTTGTCATTTTCCATTCGCCATTGTTAAATTGTTATTATCATTGTTGCGGTGGTTGTGGTAGATATCGCCAAATTCGGTGCAAAGAAATGTGATTTGCAAGCAAAACGCCACACACACACACACACAAGATCGCAGAGATTTTTTTTTGTAAAATGAAACCATTTCATTCAAATGAAAAACAAAACGAAACAAAATGAATAAAATTCATAGATTCTGTGATTAGAATTCTTGTTCTTGTATTCTCAAATTTCAAATCTCAAAACAAAAAAAAAACAGAAACAAAAACAGTAAATTTAGCCAGGAAAAAAATCATTACAGCAACAGATGCTAAATGTTTAATTTAGTTTCACAAAAACAGAAACAGAAACAGCAAAAACATTTGTTTTTCCAGATATCATCATCATGATCATCATCATCAGAAGAACAAGAAATTTGTTGACAAAAATCTTTGCGTTTATCATTCATTGCTATCAAGCAACAACAACAACAACAACAACAAAAAAAACGCAAATTCTTCACATACAATCCATTCTGAAATGTAAACTCTGATTTATTCTGATTATTATTCTGCTGCAAACACACACACACACACACAATTAATTAGTCATCATCATTGGTGATTACAATCTCATTTTTTCCATGCATAATTTCAATTCAATTTACTGGAGATAATTTTTTTTTCACTTGTGCGTGTGCGCTTTAAAGATGTAGATGCAGATGTAGATTGTTTGTTTT